AACCCATTTCCAACACCAACTTTCGATTAAAAGTATGGGCAGGAATTATTGGCAACAACTTTATTTGCCCATTCTTCTTGCCGCGGATGACTTGACGGACAGACTTACCTCAATTTTCTTCAACAACAGTGCCTTTGCTGCTTGATGATGTTCCGTTACTAATAAGAACACTATGTGGTACATGCATGATGGTGCACCAGCGCATTTTATTGTAGCGATTCGTATTTATTTACAACCTATTTATCCAAATCGTTGGATTGGCCGCGGTGGCCACAAGAATGGCCACCAAGGTCCCCAGACCTCAACGGTGTAGATTTCTATTTGTGGGGCTATCTTAAGACACTAGTGTACACAAGTTCCATCAAACACTGTAGAGGAATTAAGAGAAAGAATAGTTGCAGCTTGTGAATAATAAAAAATACTCCAGGGATATTTCAACGAGTGCGCAATTCCATGAGAAGGATGGCGGAAGCATGCATACTAAGTGAAGGGGTCCATTTCAACAATTTTTGTGATCATTTCGTTGGTTATGTTTATGATGGCGCAGAAGGAAAACAATTCAAGAGAGATCATTGGTTTTAAATTGAACGAGAAATTCAAAAATAATTTTTATTCGCAAAAAACTATTGGCGTACCATTTTTTTCTTAAAAAATATCGAAGTCAATGCAACTGTATTAACTTCACTACGTACTAAATATCAGTGAAATATCTGAAACGGTTCTGAAATATTAATTAATTTCCATTTTTTTCCTAAAACTTCAACACCCCGAGTTTTTGTAAGGAAACATTTTTGGACCATGGTTAATGAAGCAAACTAACATTAATGTTTCATGTAGATTCACACCCTTAAATATTCGCATATCATTCAGGAACACCCTGTATACCAGATATAAATTATTAAAACTGCGTATTCTAAGAAAGATATGGAATTGGAAAGGAGAGGAAATCTTATGTCCGAATATCACCTTGGCCATCCCCTTAATCATGGTAAAATCAAGACAGCAAAAACAATTTACTGTAGCAAAAATGTTTGACAGCACAGTTGCGAGATGTGTGGGGATCACCCAAAGGTGACCTTGACGATAACCTTACCATGATCTTCAAGGTCCAGTAAAATTTCCAAAGGAAATGGTAAGGCAGAAATTTTACGTCCGAAACCTCACAACAATGCAGTGGAACATTTTTGCTCTTAAGTAATTCCTGAATTGACCTTGACGAAATAGTCAAGGTCATGGTTGAAGATCGCATTCAAACGTGAAATTTCCTCCTCTTTTCAATTCCGATGTAAAAAAGGCGTTTGCTATTTGAAAATGTTCACTATTGAAAACGAAATTGATTGTTTAGACATTTTTCAATCGTAATCAGTTTGGTTTTTTTTTCAGATTGCAACAGATGTGCGTAATGTTGGAACAATACGTAGACAGCATCTGCGTTAGCGGTTCGCTGTAAAAGATGATCCGATCGAATTTGGTTCGAAGAATGTTAGATTAGAACTGCAACAGCTAGTCAAGGCGTGTGAACACGCTGTAAAGATTGCACAGAATTTGAATAACGAGGAACCTGTAGCACCTGCACAATCACGCATAGGGTAAGATTGTTACTTAACGACAGATCAAAGATCCTTCTTCAGATTTTGTTGAATTTTGGCAGTATTATTTATTAAGACACAATTTATATGCACCCATGTTTTGGGCTTTAGTGGCAGATTAGCACTGTGGTAAACTGACGATTATTATTATTATAAACGAGGAGCATAATATTGACAATCAGTTTAAAAGAATACTCGTATTTGACGAAAACATTTTTTTTTCAGCAAGTGGAGGTTCTGAAAGTTATCGTTGATCTTATCACAAAGCATCGTTGCCAGTTCCTAGATACTTCTTCCAAGTATTGCAATCAACAAGTGTGAAACTAGCAATATCTCCGCAACCGAGAGTATTGGGAGAATTCATAAGTGTACAAGCAGGATCTCAGTTAGCTGTTAAGGTAACGATAAACTCATTTCGAAAAGGCTGAATATCTTGAACACCGTTTGGATTTTCAGGTTGAAGGTGTAGTCCAACACGGTACTCAACCAGGTCTGTTTAGGAAAATTAAAGAAGTTGTTGTCACGGTAACATCTCAACTTCAAAATAGTCAGAAGAACAAAGAGATTTTGGATCCGAAGGTAAGCTAAACAACTACAATTGGCAAGCATTAACCTAAGTGCTGATCGAGCAAAAAGACGATCTCTTTCGTGACTCTTGCCTTGAGTGGAGAAATGAAAGTAAACCAGCGACGGTTCACACGATCACGATTCAGTTTATTGCATGAATCCGACCACGAAGGAGCTTCTGATTGATAGTTGTGCTCTTTTGAGTTCAGATTTTAGTGGTATGTTTGCGAGAAGATTGAGAGGTACGCGGACGCTTGAAAAATAAAAGAAAAAGCTTTATTGGACGCAAGCAATTTCTCGAATGCGGGGATCGCGCTTTATCTACAAAATGATTGAAATACCAAATACGTAACTTTCACCCGAATTGAGAAACTAGAGATACTAGAATAAAAAAAACCGACTAGACAATATTGCCATATATGCCATTTTTCCAGAATTGAGACACAGTATATGTTACATTAGAATAAAAAAGACCATACAGGATATTAAGCCAATCGTTACAATTGTTTAAGAACTTTCAAAATAGGCTCCTTCTGCGTCGATGCAGCGCTGCCAGCGCGATTTCCAAGCATTGAACGCGTCACGGAAGGCATTCTCCGGAATAGCCTTGAGAGCTGCGGTGTATGCTGCTTGGATCCCCTCTGTCGTCTCAAAATGCTTGCCTTTCATCGGCCTTTTCAGGCGAGGAAACAAAAAAAGTCCGGGGGGCCACATCTGGGCTGTAGGGCGGCTGCGGAAGCGTTGGGATGCCGGCCTTGGTCAGGTAGCTATTCACAAGAAAGGCGGTGTGAGCCGGGGCGTTGTCGTGGTGCAACTTCCAGTTCCAGGTTTGTCCAGGAGGAACAAATTCATGGTGGACGATGCCTTTGATGTCAAAAAGACAATGAGCATCGTTTTCACTTTGGATGTGCTCATTCTTCCCTTTTTTGGGCGAGGAGACGCCGTCATGTGTCACTCGGAAGATTGCCTCTTTGTCTCGGGATCATACTCAAAGATCCACGGCTTGTCACCTGTGATTACGTTATTCAAAAATTGGGGGTCATTTTCACACATGTTCAAATTTTCTTGGCACACTTCCACTCGCCGCAATTTCTGGTCGTCAGTGAGCACTTTTGGGACCATCTTCGCGCACACCTTGCGCATGTTCAAATGCTGCGTCACAATGTCATGAACCACAGATTTTGGTAAATTTAACATCTGGGCGGTCTGAGTTCTCTTCCCGGCCCTCCAAAAAGGCCTGGTGCCACCGAAACACACCACTTCTTGCTAAAGCAACACCTGGGTAAGCCTGCTTGATCATATCAAACGTCTCTGTCGCAGATTTACCGAGTTTCACACAGAATTGAATCGCGTACCTCTGCTCTACTGAACGCTGCATTTTCGGCTTGCACCAGTCACAGAAACACGTCGCGCGAAAATGCCTGTCCTGACTCTCCAAGTGCTCGGAGACAACCAGACCAGCCGCTCATTCGTTAGCTAGGAACGCCCTCTACCGAATCTGGTCGGCGCGCACGCTCCGAAGTACAGTCATGGCGGAAGAAAATGAGTCCTATTACTTTCCGGACAAACCCTGTATTGTGTTGTGTTGTCGTTAGTATGAGTTGTGTTTTATTACATGCGCACAACGGTCACTCCCTTCTGGGGGTTTTTTCATTTATTTGTATGGATATAAATTTCTTGAGTATAGTGTATATTTTAACACAAATAAATATCATTATTATACCGTTTCATACTGGGATCGTGCATTTCTATACCAGTATGTAACGCGCGACCCGACTACAATTTTTGTTTTTTTTTTTTTTTGACGGAATATTTGAACTTTGAACATGGTATAGACATACCTTTACTTCGCCACCAGCGAGGAAGTATTGTTATGGTGAAGAATTTCGAAAGTAAGATGCGTTTTTTGGATGTCATATGACATTTACATCACGAAAATTATCATCATTCATTTCTTGCGGTCCTTGGCCCGTCTATAACTTGGAAAGTACTGCTTGGAATTGGACGGAATTTTCTCAAAAGGTTTATAGTTTTTGATAATCCATCCAGAGGCGGCAATGCTAAGGGCAAAAAACTAAAAAAATAATCGTTCAAACTCCATTATTTGAGATGCTCCTGATCATAGTCACAAAAAAATTGGAAAGGTTGAGAATTGGGGGTTAAAGGCAACCTACGTATCAATTTTCTTGGTGAGGTATGGGGGGAGGGGGATGTTGTCAGGTGGACGGCACTATTGGCAGGGTTTGGAAAAGATGTTCGATGGACTTATTATATGGGCCTGTTTGACTGACTTGATCTGTTTATTTTCTGTTTAAAATGTTCGTAGCTAACTTTTTTTTGAGAGTCTAGCTTGTACCGAGCATTATTCTTTATGAACTGATGACAGAGCTTTTTGTGGGAAGTGCAGACCAACCTACTGGACGTCATTTTTTTTGTAAAGCATGCATTTATATATGTATTTACTGAAACATAACATCTAGAATCACATGAATTTGCTGGATGATAAGTCGCAGTAGATGATCTATAACAATGCGAGAGTTCCCGAGTTCCGTAATAAGCACAAGTTTTTTTTTTCAGCTTTTGGAGCAAGTGTCTGTTCTCTCCCAAACTGTAACTCCTCACAATGACTTCTTCGCAGCACAGTTTCTGTTGGCATTTCCAAGAGGTGGTCAGTACCTGCTTGTGGTGGAAGCGTCAGTGATAGACGAGAATAGTAACGCATGGAAAACGGGACCTAGATCTACGTTGACCGTCAAAGTGCCTGAAGAGACAAAGTTGACGCCTATCGCTGTACCTGGGATGGCAAACAATGCTAATGTGTAAGAACTAGAACTACTTTGCAACATGAGAAGGCTTTTCCCAGTTCTGTTAACCTTAGGCAGTTCAAAAATCGGATTAACAAAGTTTCTTTTGGATCATCATAGTAGTCGCGGTGCCCTGGCATTTAGGCTTCTGCCTGCGCGGCTGCTTTGGTGTAAAAAATGTTCACTCCCTCTAAGAGCTTACTATAAATTTTTGGAACTTTCTTCTAAGACGCCGCCGCGCATTAGATCTGCAAGACAGACCCGTCATGCTTCTGTAGCCCATCCCAACGTCGAGAACTGACCGGTCTGACCGCTCCTTATTCCTAAAGTATTGAGACTCAGAAACAATCTACCCAAGGATGTTTTACTAATGCTAATAAATTTAGGCAGCTGAAAAATTTGATTTAATTAAAGTTTTCATTTTTATCATCGACCATATTTTTATTTTTTTTTTCAGAATTCTTATGCCAGAAGATAGCCTGTTCACAAAAGGTCACCTTAAAAAGGATGTGAATAAAACACAGCATTAGTAGTATGTTTTAATTTAAAAATAAACGTTTTTTTTTTCATATATTCTTTTATCATTAAACAAATATAACGGATATTACATATATGCATATAAAAATATATGATGACGTACTGATATCTAATATACAGATAACAACTAACAAAATAACACTAAAATACAACTCATCCCCCAAAAAAAGATTATTATCTATAAAATACTCTTTTTACTTTAGAATTCAATATGAATGCAAATAATAGCTGCAACATTTCTATCACAAAATGAAATCACCTTATGATATTTCATGACATTATTATCAATCACTTTACCAAATCACACACCGCACCATATGGGAAGATAGCACCAAGCCACTGTTGGCATTTTTATACTCTATATGATACTCCAGCTGTGTAGTTCTCGTGTTAACATACTGTATATATATATATATATATATATATATATATATATATATATATATATATGTACCATTGTTACAACCAAATATATTACTGCACTGACATGGATTATTTCAGATGATAATCATATGTATCAAAGTTACAGATGATAAAAAAAACCTAACTGACACGATGTGAGACAATAAAATAGAGCAAGAGAGTTACCTAATTCTGTTTCTAGTAATCATATAAAAATACGGTTTTAAGTTGATACAAGTCTCGCATCTTTCACGTCTGGATATGTTTATTTTAACTTGCGATTCGACTAAAGCAGCAGACTTTGGTCGAACTGAGAATGGCAACGATATTAGATACGAATATATTCATATAATGACGCCGACTAATCAACAGTTTCGTCGAGCGACCAGCTATAAGGGCCTATGCGCTCTTAAAGTTGGGCACCTATCACCTATCTGTTGCGTCATCATCCCCAACAAAGAGTCCGTCCATAACACTTGAGAAAACGGCCTAGGAAGACACGTCCAGCACGCCCTTTGCGACGCGTGCACACTGTCGTAAAAATGGGGTAAAATTTAAGGAGGACGTAGCTCGTCATCACACACTCGGGGAAAGTGCAGTAGCCTGTATCCACGCAGCGCAATACCCGGTCTACCGGGAGGAAGTGCAGTTGCCAGAATAGTGTTGTTATATTGGTAGGGGAAGAGAGGCCGAGCTCCCTCCCTCCCTCTAGTCGTAACACTTCTAATGTCACTGAGTATATCTTGCCTTAAAATTCACAGAAAAGTAATTATAGACGGATAACTTGATGTGGGACTTGCGTTTTTATAGAAGTATATGAAATGTTCACAGATTCAAGGCGTCATCGTGGCACAACTTTCTGCATCAGTTTCTGAGAGCGGTGATTGAAAATTGAACAGCGGTAAGTGAGGGGGGGGGGCAACGGCTGCATTAGTGCTCTTTTCCCTCATAAAGCATTGATAGCAGTTATTGACCCTCCATTGTTCTAGGAGGTTTAAAAAATTGAAGAATATCCACCGTCTCTTTTTTTAAATACTGTGTGCGAGATTGAAATAATCAAAATAGACTGACGTGAAGTCAACTCAAAAACACAATTTCAATTATCTTATTAGGTCATTTTTTCCGATCATCCTAAGCACTTCAACGACTCTCACATACTGTGTTAGGTATAATTTATTTCCTTTTTGTATAGTTTCAGGTTGGAAATTTAAATAATGTTTTATGGATCCAAATCCCGTACACATTTATTTTATTGTTCAAGTTCCATTTTTAATATGAACCACAACCTTTTTTAGTGGTTTCATTTTGACTAAATTTAATCTCCACAAAACCATGCTTAAAATTTTTAATAAAACGTCTAGTTGCTAAGAATTGACAGGTCCCGAGTCCCGAACAATTACATGCACTAGGCGGCGTTGTCATCGCAAACACACAAAATCATATACCGAACATTTTTTAGAGTATAACCTGTGACTTTGTAGTTTTAGATTTCTCATACCGGCCCCACAAAAGGCAGCCACTGATTCCTCGTAGGCTTCCTGTTAAAATCTCTGACATGAATCTCTTCAGGCGCATGGTAATCCCCACTCTTCCCCCCGCTCTTGCTCAACAGCTTTACCTCTTTTATTACAATCCCCTTGCTCACAGCCTTACACATATCATAAACTGTCAACGCTGCAGTACTAGCAGCGACTAGTGCTTCCATTTCAACACCGGTCTTGCCGTCACATCTTACTCTTGAAGTTATGTGCACCTCGCAGGTCTCTTCCTTGAGTTTCGCTTTGACCTGGACATGCGACAGTGGTATGTTGTGGCACAGAGGTACAATGCTTGATGTGTTTTTTTGCGCTCATAATCCCTGCTATCTCTGCTATCGTCAGAACATCACCTTTTTGATGAGGTTCTCGCGAATGAGAAGCGTTATTTCAGAATTAAGTTGCACGGTAGCGGTGGCGACAGCTATTCGGGTAGTTTCAGGTTTCTCGCCCGTATCTACCATAGCGACTTTGCCTTGGTCATCAGTATGCGTCAGTTTTGTGCAGTACATTCTTTGTGTATATTGGAATGGTTTCTGCAAGTATAGATGGCTCAGAATTGAGTTGTGATAGGTAAGATTTGGCATAAACGGTGTTTTCCTCGTCTCTGAAATAAAAGAGAAGACTAAATAGCTTTGGTGATGTCAAGCTTGGAATTATCAAACACTGATTAACATTTTCCAAGAAGATGCAAAAACCTATGCGGTATTTGGACAGAGCTGTACTTTCTTTTTGATGAATGGTGAGTACTTTTTCATTCATTTATTTTTACTTTTCGCTGTTGTTTCACCGCACATTAGCTTTGTTATTACAAACGTAGTTGTTTATGAAAAGGACACGCTGTATAATAGAAACATATCAAAACACCGGATTTACGAGTAAAAACCATGTGATTATATACAGTAATGAACAAAAGTGTATAGACAAATATGAATATTTGCCTAAATACCTTTAGAAAACGAATTCATACTACATTGCTCCATAAACAAATGCGTTATTAGTAGAAAAACTAAATTCCTTGTTTTTACATTATCTGCAATGAACGCAATACAAGTCTGAATATAAGCACTTTTTTATGAGGGACAAAAATCTGTAGACAAATTCTATTCAACATTAGTTTCGCACAGTTTCGTGTCAGAAGAGGATTGGTTTGTGTTCATCAAGTATTGTGGAATAAGTTGAGTGATTTTAAGACCATGCCGCGTGGTCCAGAAATTTCTTTCGATGTGAAAACTAAGATCATTGAGTTATACAAAGTTGGTCAATGTCAAGTCCACATTGCCAAAAATTTGAGGCTGAAGCGAGCAGTTTGGGCAATATTGAACAAATATAAACAAAAAGGTATCTTGGAAAACTCTAAGAGAAGTGGTCGTCCTAGAAAACTAAATGCTAGATCAGTTAGATTAATAAAAGTAATTTCGTCCAAAGATCCGTTTAAAAGAGAGAAGAAGAAAAGACAAATAAAAGCCGAAATCGAGACAAAAGGAAATGTCACTGTTTCTACGAAAACTATAAGTAGAAGATTAAATGATTTGAAGAAGCCCGAGTAAGACGCCGCTAACCTCGAGGAAAACCGTAAGGACCGATTACAATTTGCACGGATGCATCTTGATTGGAGCATCTGTGACTGGAAGAGGGTATGTTTTCAGTAACGAATCCAAGTTCAATATGTTTGAATCAGATGGTGTTCATTACGTTAGACGTCCTAGTGGACAAAGATTGAACCCCAAGCACACTTTGCCCACTGTCAAACATGGAGGCGGGTCTGTTATGGTTTGAGGGTGCTTTTCGGGGTTTGGGATGGGACCTTTACATAGAATAGATGGCATTATGGGTAAGTTTGTATACACATACATACTAAAGCATGTCATGTTACCCTATGTGGAAGACAATATGCCCTTAAGATCAATCTTCAAGCAAGATAATGACCCGAAGCACACTTCAAATCTCTCAAAGAAATTCTTACTGGTTGAAAAAATACCAGTTCTCAAATGGCCTTTTTTATTGAAGGGAGTCTAATGAATTTATTTATGTATAAGTGAGTATTATGCTATAACGAATTATGTATACAGGTCGGTGTATTAATAAACAAGTTAAAAAAATACAGCACATACTTTTGTCCATTACTGTAGATTTCAACAATTTAACAAATAAAAATGAATCATTTTTTTGTATCCCAGTAGATAACAAATATCCCCAACTATGAAAAACATGTTGTTATCCTTGGGGATGTGTTTTGTATCTCGTGCGGCTTTTATATAGTTTTATACATTTGTGTTTTTTTAAATCCAGTATTTTTTATATGTTTCTATACAATGTTCCGTTTTTAATTCTTTGAATTGTTGAAAACTATAAAATCATACGGCACATATTTAATATGTACTCAAGTTTATTGGTGTTGTTTTTGTTCTGTGGTTTTTATGTTGTTGTGTATTTTTTGGTCAATCAATGTAACTGAACTTTTTCATTTCATTGCTTCATTTGCGATTTTAAAATTTTATAAATGTATTTTTTCATATCATTTTAGCCCTGAAGAAGGCAAAAGTAAACGCCGAAACATTGGCAATTTGAAAAAAATACACTTCTTCCACATATAACCCAAGAAACTGAAGCAATCAAACGTACATATCAAGCACTGGGATAAGAACTAATTTAATCATAAAATAATATTAGTTTTACGTACCTATCACGTTGAACTGTTTTGGCAAATTCACGTAAAGAGATCTGCATGTTTTGGGAAGACGTGATTCTAAGTGCTCAGTACAGCATTCTTTATTCGATCACGATGCACTTTACACTTGACTCAAAACCGCAATGAAATTAGTGGTAGTGTTGAAGTAGGTGATCAAAAAGGTGTCACGTTAATAAAGTTCAACAGTTTTGATGGGGTATTTCATAGTGGAATATGTTAACCAATGCATTAAGAAGATCTAACCGTCAGTGGTTATGAGTGTAGACTGTGTTCAATTCTAAAATTTTGCGGTCTTATGGTGTCGCAAATAAAGGACTGTCGGATGGAATGGTAATATTCAAATATGCGTTATACACAAAGCTCAACATTAACTGATAACATGTATAGATGCAGAACAATACATAAAGCATAAAGTGTGCTGTGTAGCTCTAAAGTGAATAGTTACTCTACCTTTTAAGCAAAATATTTTGATATATTTAGCCCCCTATAAGTATCATTGGTCGATTAGCCATTTGAGAAATATTCAGCATGCCTGAAAAATATTTTATTAAGACACTAAAGCTAACTGTTATCACAAATAGCAAATGCATTAGTCACACAACATTTTTCAAGCTGTGTTAATGGGACAAGGGACGAACAAGTACAAGTAACTGTTGGAGGACATGTTAAAGAAACAGTATGCTATATACATTTAAGATTTTTCATAACATCTATTCAGTCTGTCAATAAGACGTGTGGGAAAACACTATTTTTTTATCATATGAGATTGTCCACAATAAGTACTAAGTACATTTATAGCTTTTTTACTTCAAGTGGTTTCTTCCATCTTAGTTGGCAACAAAAAATAATTGGCTGTTCATTCTGTTGTTTTAAATTTTAAAAAATCAATCAACTTTCGACTTCTTAAGCACTGTTGCTAACATTCCCAGAAGCAATGTTTTTCAGCAACCGAAAGCCTGAACAAAACGGCCACTACAGCTGCTACTGTTTGTAAGCTGTATAATTCATTTTTACAGATCTTCCGTGCTAATCATTTACGGTTTGGGACGACACTTATGATAGAAAAACTTAGAAGAGTGCTACTCGCCGTCGTTACCAGATAATGCTGGGATTACTTGTGCACTCTTTCTCACATACGTGTTGAATGCTTCTCTCTCTCTCTCTCTTACGCATTGAAACCCGGCCGACCTCACCGTAAATGATTCGCACTGTCTGTGATTATTATTCAAAAAATATGTGATTCCTATACACCTCAGACAAATATTTTGCAGGCAATAACATCAGAGGCAACTAAGCAAACACTCGTGCAAATTAAATAACGCCGCATTTTCTTTATTAAAGAGAAAATCAGAGCACTGTTGTGATGCACTGTTGCCACGTGCTCCGATTTTCCCTAACAGGAAATGCCCTGATATATAATTTGTATGTGTGTGTACAAATATTCTCGTACCTGCATGCTGTTTTTTCTTTCTCTTGACCGCTGCACTGATCAGAGCTGTTAGATCATCATCTGAGCATTTGCTCCTGATAGCGTCTCTGAGAGATATCTCAGTGTTACCAAACAAGCAAACTTTCAAATTTCCATCAGCTGTGATCCTTACTCTATTGCACGTACCACAAAAGTGCTCACTCATTGATGTTATGAAGCCAACCTGTCCTTTGTAACCTGGGACCTTCCAAGCCTTAAAAATAATGATAATAATTAAAGTTGAACATTCTAATTTAATTTTTATTGAACTGTAATGAGATGAATGAGAAGTACAAACCTTTGAAGTATCATTTGCAGCATTTTTCAAAGGATGCAAGTCTGGCCATTCTGCTTGTATCATTCCCAGCATACTTTTATATGGAATGAGTTTGTTAACTTCCCATTTATTTCCAGTGAATGGCATATACTCTATGAACCGTACATCAACACTTCTGTCCTTTGTCAGTCTCACAAAATCAACAATTTCATTTTCATTGAAATCTGAAAATTTGTAAAGATTTTTGAGAATGAATTTTAGCCCGTTAGGGATAAAAAACTTGTTGAAGCATTTAAAGAACAATATACCTATCTTGAAAGAAGGCACTATCAAGCAGTGTACACTTCTAGCCACTTTTTTGTTAGTGATTCACAGGGTATTTGCCCTCAATCATAGATATCATACATACGAGGTTTATCGGGAAAATACGTATAAAAAATTCGGGGCGTCGTGTCAAGGCGTTATGAAGTGGCGGCCCGGTGGTTCCCTCTCCCTATGCAATCCCCTCTATGCTCAGTTCGAGACGGAGCGCTCTGCGAGTAAGTAGGATTTACGTGTGCTTGTTGAAAGTAACCCTAGGCAAGAAGGGTCGTGAGATTTTTGAGTGTTTGGAACAAATTTACGGAGACAATTCTCTGAAGAATCCAACCGTCAACAAGTGGTTGAAAAGGTTTCGGGACGCCCGGAAGATGTGCTCTTAAAGACCGTCAACTGAGGATAGAATGATAGCTGAGGAATTGTCAATCCGCTGAACAATTGTACACAACATTCTGAGAGAAAAACTTGAAATGAAAAGATTGTGCGCGAAAATCTTTCCGAAGCTCTAGACTCCAGAACAGAAAGCAGGGAGGGTTGCTTGTTGTGAGGATTGGTTGGAACCAGAGGAAAGGGGGGACTTTCTCAAGCGGGTCAGCACTGGACTGAATCTCAAAGCATGGAGTGGAAGCAAGCAGGGGAACCGAGAACAAAAGAGTCGAAAAAAGCAAGGTCCAATTTGAAACAATGTTGATTGTTTTCTTTTATTCTCGGGGTATTGTTCACCAGGAATTTGTCCCTCCCAGCCAGACAGTGAACGGAAATTTCTACATTGAAGGGGGCAGGTGGATCCTTTATCACGACAACGCGCCCGCTCACACTCTCGTTGTGCGTGAGTGTTTGGCCAGAAGCTCAATCACCGTGACAAAACACCCGCCTTATTCACCCGATTTAGCCTCTTGCGACTTCTTCCTGTTCCCAAAATGCAAAATGGTGCTTTGGGGGCGGCACTTGGGGGATGTGGAAGCAATCAAGGCAGAAACGACACGGCGAATGAAGAGCCTCACAATTGAAGACTTTCAGCGATCGTATCAACAGTAGAAACGGCGTTGGCAGAAGTGCATCTTGTCTCAGGGTGTGAGTACTTTGAAGGAAACCATCTTGAAATACCTGAATAATTGTAAAATAAAGTTATTATTCCACTTTTATACGTATTTTCCGGACAAACCTCGTATAGATGCAACAATGACTGTTGGTCCCTTTGGTATGTTGATGTCAGGAATTATTTGACAACTATCCTACTGATTACCATAGAAATGCATCAATTTTTGTCATGAGAACCAGTACAAACATCTAAATAAATTCTTTGAAAAGCAAAAAGCAGCAGCTCCTACAGATGATAAATGTGGAACATATGAGCCCCACAAACCCTTTGAAAAGGGAAAGAGGTGGCAATTTTTTCCTATGACTGCTAAATGTTGAAAAACCACCAGAAGTATGATTTACAAAAATCTGTGCTCTTCCATATTAATTACAATGATACCAACTGATTCCTCATGTTCTCTTGAGAAAAATATATCTGAAAGACGCAACACCTGTTTTTATTGCTTGAAATAATCTTTAAATTATTATTATAATGTCTCAGTAACCGAAATCCTACAAATCCAGCATCCTTTTTTATAGGCTTTTGTCTTCTAACTCTATTCAAACTTATTTTATGGTTTATGCAACACATTATACTGAGCTGTATAGCTGGTTGCCTACCTCAATAAACTAAATTCGGATCTATTTATATTTTGGATGTTGGCCTCCTTTGACTTGGAAAGTGATTACAAATTAGTTAATTAGCATATACCTTTCATAACAACACAGTTAACTTTCACAGGATTATATCCAAGTTGCAAGGCCAAATCTATACCCATCATTACCCTATTCCAGCCTTTTCTTCTTGTAATTTTTTCATACTTCTCAGCAACAAGTGTGTCCAACTAACATTTACAATGTCCAGACCTGCTTTTTGCAAAGCAACAAGTTGTTTGGTTAATACTAGACCATTTGTTGTCATTGCCACTGTTTTGAGTCCCTCAATTTGTTTTAAATTATCTAAAAAGATATTATGAATACTTCAAAAAATAGTGTATTTGGTACTTACAAATAATATCTGGTAAATCTTTTCTGATAGTTGGTTCTCCTCCAGTTAGCCTTATTTTGTCAACACCTTCTTTTACAAACAACCTTGCAATTTTAATAACTTCATCTGTTGTTAATAGGTGTGGTTTTTCAGTTAACTTAACCCCCTCTTCTGGCATACAATACTGACCTTAAAATTTGTATTAATGATAATAATATGTATGAATTAATAATAATGTCTTACATCTTAGATTGCACCTTTCAGTTAAAGATATCCTCAAATAATTGTGGTATCTTCCAAATAAATCTGTTAATGTTTCTTTTGTAGACTGAAATGAAGAATAAACATTGAGATAAAATGTATTTGTTAGTCAGTAAACATTTACCAGTACTGGTTTAGGCTGGGTCCCCACAGAAAGGTGTCTCCTGCAGAACTTCCACGCGTTTCTAACCGGCTTATGCATCGTACTAATTACTTAAACTGGTATTTATTGATACCAATAAAATGTTAATAGCAACACAAATGAAAATACTTGAACACAATTTATTACATCATATTAATCGCCGGATACGGTCTGTGATAGTGAACAATACGTTTTCACCTCATTACGTCGGTTTACGATGTATGTTTAAAATTAGTTTGACCAGAAATGTGATAAAATCGAGGGTCAAGTTTTTATCTAATTTCTGAATACCAAATTTTAAATTGCAACACTTCACTGAATGAGTTTACTCATCCATGTAATGTTTTATTGTTGAAACTGGTGATTTATTATTGTTTCACATAAGACATGCTTCTTGGAATGTCGCTTTCTCTTTAATAAATGCAAAAATTATAATATAAAATTTTCAAAAACATATTAACCAAAAAGGTCAGGTCACGGTCAGGTAACAAATACGCCATCTGTAATCCAGTAGAATAATTAATTTGCAAAGCGATATGGCACGTTTTCGTATTTTTCTGTAAATTAAAGAAATTAAATTTTCCCACATACGTCATTGCCAGATTCATAAAATTTTCAGTATAGTTCAGGAAAACAAAATCGTTTGCGATGGTGACAGCACGTCGACTAGTTCGCTATTGGTGTATGAGTGTGACATTTTTATTTTTTGAACAGCAATCGGTTACCAGCGTAATGGATTGTTGTCCTACACTACCGGCGTCTTGGTTAGGTTGCATACTAGCGTATTTACATCGTACTCGTACGTCGTATAACTGTACGCTGGCGCTGTGGACGTGATCGAGGGATAGGACCGGCTTTAGTTTGGTTCAGGTTTGATTGAGTTTGCGTAGCCCAATATCTCGGTTCTCTTACGACATATTGGTGTATATGCTATTTTCTCATGATCCACACGTCCTTGTAAAGGAAACCCCCAACTTTGCGGACACCCTGTATAATGTCAATAACCAGGTCTACACATTTTTCGGTAAATCTACCGATTTTAGACTTAATCTTCGGAACTACCGATTTTAATGGGAAATCTACCGAAAAATGTCTCAAATTCTTAAGTTTTTTTTTTATACTCCAACTACCACGAAGGCCTAAGACCTAAGCACCCATTGGGTACCGTGGGGCTATAGGAGGATGCATGGGAAAAGGGGGGACGCCACACGGACTCTGGCGAGGGAACACGTGTGCATGCAACATGCACACATTCTGGCTCCGCCTACGAGATCCGCCGTGTGGTACCTCCGCGTTCGACAGTCAGAGACAGTCTACCACCTACGGACAATCACACCATCCATAGCCAAGAGAATAATTTCTCCTGGGACGGGATTCGAACCCGCACAGCGTACGGCGACTGATCAGGAGACCAAACAGTCTACTACTGCGGCCACCGCTGCTGCCTAAATTCTTACAAGTAGTAATATTCAAGCTACAAGTTTTTTGCTTTTTGGTTTAGCATCTACCCAACAATTTTACAATCTACCGAAACATTTCGTACAAATCTATTGAAAACAGATCGACTGTAACTGGCAACACTGGTTATGAACATATGATTATGACTGATGTCAAAAAAATTTAAAATCCGGCTGATACGGCCTGGATAGATTTTGATGTGATTTTTTAAATACCGTACAATGTGCTTGATCATTTCTTAAAGTGAAATACGGTGAACATTCCTAAACATGATAAACCTAGTTCCAATCAGACAATTATGTTTAAAATCAATACCTACAATTGCTGAAAGGCCAAACTTTATGGTCTCTTGTGTTAGGTCTTCACAAAAGAAGACCTTTTCAACCGATTCCAAGAAAGTTGATCTAGAAAAGCGAAGGAAAGAAATTATGTCAAAGGGCCTTCCAAAGCAGAAACCTATTAATGGGGTGAAACAAATAGTTGTGGTTGCTTCAGGCAAAGGTGGTGTAGGGAAAAGCACTACAGCAGGTAATTTTTTACCCAAAAACAGACTATTTATTATTTATTACTGCCCCTCTTTCAATCTACAGTAAATTTAGCTACATCTCTAAAACTGAACTGTCCAACAAGAGTATTGGGATACTTGATACTGATGTCTTTGGCCCTACTATACCACTGTTGATGAATCTAGATGACACACCTCTGTTAACAAAGGAAAACCTCATGAAACCCCTCACAAACTATGGCATTCAATGGTAAGCATCACATAATCGGATGTTTCTATGCCTTATTTCTTTATAAAAAGACTTTACAGTATGTCCATGGGGTTTTTGATAGAAAAAGGGTCACCAATTATTTGGAGGGGCCTCATGGTGATGCAGGCTTTGGAGAAACTGATGAGACAAGTAGATTGGGGTGAAATTGATTATCTTATTGTTGATACACCACCTGGTACTGGCGATACTCTATTAAGCATCATACAGAATCTTCCCATAGCAGGTAAATAAAAACATCAAGACTGACTGGCATATACAGGATTGGTCAGAGAATCATTGAGGTACCATATTTAATGTGTATAAGTGAGATATAGAGAGGAAAACATGTAGATTTGACCAAGAGTGTCAATGAAGCATCGGCACATTCTTTGCCATAGTGTCAAGCATGCTAAAATTGTGTTTGTCTCTCTCTATTCCTTTTGTACACATTTAATATTGGAGCTCAATAATCCTCTGTATAAAAATATGTCCTTCGATCATGTTATCTGCAGATTCCTATTAAGTTACAAGTATATGCAGGCTGTAATGAAATTTTTTTAAGAAAGTTTTCTGCTAAACACGTTTCAACACACTGTATCAGGGAACTGTAGAATAGGAAGGTTCGCCATTTTTTTATTTTCATTCGAATCGAGAGATTTTGTTATTAAAAAACGATAAAAATTGAGCAAAAAAATTGATATTTACGTCTACTAAAAGCATTTCAAAATCAAGGATCGGCGCGAGGCTGGAAAACATACCTGTGCGCGAGACTAGACCGCGTGACGTCAGTAGCCAGACACACCTCGCTAGCTGGCCCCCTGCATTTACCATTCTTACAACAACGCCTCAGTAATCAGTTTAGAGTAGTTAGAGCTGGAACAATAGATTATTGTTCAATTCTGTGAACTTTGACGGTGTTAAATGTCGAACAGAAAGTGGTGTTTTGTGCCAAAATGTACAAGTACGTCAAGTACAACACCACAAAAAAATTTTGGGAGTGTTCCAAAAGCTGCCGCACAACGTAAAAAGTGGTTTGTCGCAGCTTGACGGGATGTAAAATCAGTTTCTTCCACGTCGACCATGTACTGCTGCGATCATTTTGACCTGGAAAAATATATGGAAAACTATCTACGAAACGAATGTTCAGCGAAAAAATTGCAAGGCGGAAAGACATCGCCAAATATTTGCAGCCAGCGGTGGCACGCCGGGCGGAACCCTCAACCGAAAGAGCATGATGAACTGCCTGAACCTTTAACAGTAGAAGTTCAGTCACAGATATGTGACAAGGTCTGCCAAACCAAACAAGTACATTTTAGAAGCAAGTCAGTTCAAATCTCGCAAAACCGGAAAATAATGGATGTTTCTGTATCGCCAATAAGAAACAGAAACAGATTTCAGAGCGGCCAGAAAAACGTTTTCAAGTGGAAAGTGAACGGGCAAATCAAGAAACTCCCGCAATAACAGAAACATCCGAATTTGATTCGTATGAAGCCAGTGGAAGCAGTACTGAAACTAGTGACAGCGAAGCTGACCAGCTTACTGCCGAGATCGTAGTCATTCTAAGCGCAGTATTAGTCAACGTTTAGAACTTGGCTTCATTGCCCATCCCTAGAATTTCTCTCATTGAAAACATATTAGCTACCATACTTTACTTCAGAATAGTGTAATAAAGCCTCATTATGCATGCAAAAAGAACCAATTTCGGGGCTCTTAATAGGCGTAACAAGGTGAAAAGGTATGTATGATAATTTAAATTCCATAATATTTTACCTAGGAAGAAAAAAGCAGAGATAAATATCCTTCAAAATTATTGTCACGAGCAGGCATTATTATGTCTCAATATTATTAGCTTTCAATAGACTAAAGCAAAGCAGGATCAATTTTTGCGGAGAAATACAAAAAATACTACCCATTGGAGCTAAACAAAAAAAAATTAGCTTCATATGGGTACTTACTGAACTACTTTAACACCGCTGCTCTGAGGTTTATTTAAATTTGCATTATTTGCCAAAAACTCGTACACCATTCACATGCGGTAAATTTCGCGAATCAACTTTCTGATAGGTAACCTTGGAGCATTGTGCTAGCACAAATAAATAAAGTAAACAAACATCGGTCCCAGTTTATATAAATTCGTATTTGTATACTCTTCACTATACAAGACAATACAAGATACAAGTACTATGAGGGCGACAGCATGTGTCTGGCTACTGACGTCACGCGGTCTACTCTCGCGTACAGATACGTTTTCTAGCCTCGCGTCGATCCTTGATTTTAAAATGCTTTCCGTCGACGTAAATATTGATATTTTGCCCTCAACTTTCTTTGACCGTTTTTTAATAACAAAATTCCTCGATTTTAATAAATTAAGAAAAATACGAAAAATGTTGAACCTTCCTATTCTGCATTGCCCTGTAGATATATATATTTATCCAGTAATTTTTTTTGACGTAGGTGTGGTTCTTGTGACAACCCCGCAATCAGCAGCATTGGAGGTAACCAAAAGAGGTGCAGTTATGTTCAAAAAACTCAACGTGCCTTTAATAGGCATTGTGGAAAATATGAAGTATGTCAAATGCACGTCTTGTCAAAGCAACATAAAAGTTTTCGGAGATGGAACATCAAAACTAGCTGAAGAGATTGAGTGTGATATTTTGTCAAGTATACCTTTAGAAGGTTGTATATCTGCAAGTGCAGATGAAGGTATACCAGTAGTATTAAGTGGAAAAAATAATGATATTGAAGATTGTTATAAAAGGATAGGAGACAGTTTAATTGCATTCTGTGAGAAAAATAAATAAATTGTCAATTTGAGTTTGTTTTTTAACCAATCCATGAATATAAATGTCTGATGCTACTCAAATATTTCATACATCTTTTTTGTATTTTAAGAAAGACCACCAGGGTGGCCAAAATCTTCAACTCTACTTTGTGTAGATATTCATCATAGTAACAATCACAGGATGAGTTGTGATTGTTACATTATATCATAATTGTTATTTCTGAACTAAGAGTGCAAAGTACCAGTTTGTCGCTCGAGAATTTGGTTTGATCCACCCAAAGCAAAGCAAGCTGTAGTTTAAGCTCAAGTTGCACACAAGATTTTTTCAATAATTGCAACAATTTACCTTTCCCTATATTATCGATGTGAAATCATAACATTTGGCTATATGAAAGCCCTCCATCGTTGATCTGACCGTCACTAATAGTGAGCGTTTTTGCTACTTTGTCGCGCTAGTTGTCATTTGAGATTAGCCCTTGAAAAACGTTATCTATTCTTGCTTTTTCGGTCGACTGTAGAAAAAAAAAGGTTTTTGTGTAATCTGAAGCTGGACAGCACTGTGGAATGATGTAGAGAACAGTTAATGTTTGTGTAAAAATACGTAATTTATTACAATTTATAACAACCCACTCAACTTAAATCTACAAGATATAAATGGAAGAATTCTTTACAAAATAACAAAGAGCATATTTGAGCCATAAATAAACAATCCAAAAATGTTTACATTGTCCACAATAATAAAAATACAATTTTGACTTTCACAGGTATATATGTATGTATATATGCATTGATAAATGAAATTAAATTACACGTATACTCTTGCACATTAGGCTTACACATAATATATACATTCTTTTGTAAAAAATCATAAATAATATCTCAATACCAGCAGTGTACTTTGTGTAAACAGATGAATATGGTATGGATACCACAACAGAAAAAATATTTTAAGTCTTGGATGTTTAAGTGTATCAAAATGTTTGATCACGATTTGTGAACTAAAATTGGTTACCACCTCTTCTTGTGCTCATCCATGGACACACCTCCAGGACCAAGGTAAACAATCATTAGGAGTCCACCAATCACTGATAATGTCTGAAAATAAAATAGAAAAAAACCGTGGTCATTTGTGATCATGATAGGAAATGTATTTGTTTCATTCTGGATCTCTGGTCAATACTATTTCACAATTAAATTTAGTAATTTTCCTTAATATCCATTAGTCAATTCAGAAAAAAATATATAGGATCGACAGAGAATCATATTTATGATGTTTGAATGATAGGGAGAGAAACATGTATGGTAGCAACAGCTCAAATTGTTCATTTGCACTTGGGCTCTAAAACAGGTTTTTCTATCCTGCTCGTACACATCAAATATGGAGACTAAATGATTCTTTGCCTTTCCTGTATAGTGATTTACCTGGAAGAAATCATATTTCAAGAAATCTCTGTGTGGTTTGTAGTCAGGTATGGTCCACCAACAGTTATGGTGGAGGTTGAGAATAGTCAGAAGAGCTACCAGAAGTAAAGCTGATAGTTTTGTCTTATAACCTACTGTAACTAGCACCATCAATGCTGTTCCCACAATGTCTGACAATAACTGTAACAAAAATAAATTAAAAATGAGATATCCTTACCCAAAATATGTATTTGTAAAAGAATTGAATTAAGGCATAATATTATTATACGCCTCTTTTTTAAATTATTTCAAGCCAGTCAAGGATTTGTCTTGTCCCCTAATACCCATAGATTGTAGTGAGCACAATGTCAATTTTTTGACAGTTATGTCATTAAATCGGTGTTATTTTTAGAAGTGCGAGTGTTTGCAGATCATTGTGGTGCTGGACAAATTCAAGACCTGGTGCTTCTTACATGATTTGCAAAGTGCAGCACAAGCCTGCCACAATGCTGTCACTTTGGTGGGTATTGGTAGACAAATGAGTCAAAAGTATGCATTAAAACTACACAATTTTGGCGACAAACAATTCAATGTAAACATATAGGGTTTGCTCCTACTAATCTGTTTGAATTTGATGATTGAAACCACAATGAGTTGGACAATGGATGAACGAAGCCTTAAGACAAGTAAACTACTACTACTTTTTACCTGAAGGAAGCTGAACTCGAATCTGATCAATGTGATGAACATAAAGGCAAGCAAGATCCTCCCAGTTAGCTGAAGGTAGTTTTTAGGTTTGTTATCACCCAAAGAAGGAACTCCAGCAAATAGACTTTTAGCTTCACCCCTACTCTCAGCAAGTACTAATAGCAAAGCTCCTATGAGAGCTAGATTTCTAAACAGAAACTGCATGTCCCAGATTATACCATATGCTATCGTCTGAAAGAAAAAAAACATTCTTGTTATGTCATGATTGAAGTACCAGGCACAAAATATATGGAACTTGACCACAGGTCAATTTTAATAAAAATTCTTATAGTAATAGTTCATGATTGACATCTTATAGGTGTGTATTTCTAAATTATTTAGAGATATACAGGATGTTGCACAATACCATGGAAGAACAAACATGTTTTTTCTTTCAATGACACACCCTATATTTTATTAGATATTTGGAAAGACCTTTTGATTGTCATTTGTTTGGTTATTTTATCATTTATCTTAAAAACTTCGAAAGCTTTAATTTCCACCATTCTGCATAGTTTTTCATTGAATTTTGGAAACAGGATGAAAAAGTATAACATAAATTCAAATAAACAACAAACCTGGTATCAAATGGAACCTTAGAAAACAGAAAACAACTCATGGAGGAAAATATACCATTTAAATTTTTTAGAAAAAGATTTTGCTTGTCTAAACATATCAGCACTTTCCCTAGTTGGATTTAAAGTTGGTATGTTAAATTCTTTAAAATTGATGTGATCAAATTCCATATGATTTGTGCCTGGTATATTAGAGAAAATTCTCAGAAGGTGAAATTTTATATTTTTAGAAATTCACAGTTTGACAATCTGAACAAGAAATTTAGAAATAGGATATAAAATAGATATGTTCATAATTCCAAATTTACTGTTTGTATCTCAAAAAACAACTAGTTATTATAGAATAATAACATTTTTTTCTATAAAACATGCTACATTTTTTACAAAGGTTTTGTCTTAAAAAAGGGCAAAACTTTTCTCAGTATCTACCCCTTATTACTGGTTTATGTCAAACAATGAATGAGTTATGATAGAGACTTGCTGATACATGATTACATAAGAATAGATAAGGGACAGAATAAGGGAATGCCTTATTGTAATTTGATTGATCAGGAGACTTTGACATTTATATGTAGGTACTATTTTGCTTATGATAAGAATAGGTATATGAATTAAACTACTTGCAAGATATCATCTATTATTACATACCAGGAAATTCTGAAACATACTTACTTGTAAAATAACAATGAAGAACAATACTCCACAAGCAATGTTTACTTTATACCTCACAATAACCATGACACATCCTCCTAATTGCCCTATAAGATTGAGTATCACAAATAATGTGGCAAGAAATGGCCCACAGCCCCAGGACATGTCCATGTATTCTTTTTGTTCTTTCCATTGAAACCACATTCGAAGGCCATCTTCGAAGAATGTCGAGATTAAGCATAATCTTGATAGGGTGGGTAATATATGTTTTAATTTTCTTATAACCTGAAAGATATATATGAATAGTTAGAGAACATGAAACATAAGGAATAAATCATTTTTTCGATCTCTCTGAGAAGTTTGAAGTTCACATTGGTTTGCCATATGTGTGGATCTTTGGCCTTTATCACAAGTATAACTACTTTGAAATGGAACAATACCAGAATAGGTCGCTATTACATCTTATGAAAAAATAACATATTTTGAAAATGCTATCTTTCTGAATGCCTATACAACTCAAATTACTGATAAAATCAAAAAGAATGACGTGACATTTTGGGTTTTTCAAATACATTTTTTGGTGGACTCAAAACTTAACCTTTACATTTTTATCACATAAAACATATTATTTGTATAATTTGAACAATTCTTACTGTATCTGCTACGTCTTCCGCTGTGGAAATATATTCCTTTTGGATATTCATTTTCAAATTTTGAAGAATTTTGAGCAAAAGCTCCACGCAATCAACCTCTTTGAAGTAAGAGTTGCACGTTGCCAGATGTCAATTTTTCTCGTCGTACCAATTAAATCCACATCATCTTTCTTTTCGAAGACTTTCTCCACAAATTATCAAATTATTATTATCCCATTAGTTTCTTTGAGATGTCTGAAATATGGAAAACACCAATGCATAAACGCAGTCTTTTTCTTATGTTAATAATTTGAAACTGCCAGAAAGACGGAAAATACCATAAAATATCTTGCACAGTTTGGCAGCGCTGCATAGGGGATGTGTCAAGTGACAAAGTTCAAAAATGTAGGATTAGTGATGGTTCTAGCAATGATTTTTAAACGATTTGTAACCGTCAAATTCATTTGACCAAACTAATTTTCAAACAAGTTCGCTCAACACTATGAGTCAATCTGAATTGGTTAACTATATCCAACTGCTACAACCGTCAGAAGGTCGTTGTCAGAACCTATTACACACAAAAACATATACCCTATTTCCCAAGTATCTATCTCGGTAGAATGACAGCTGATTATCTAGTAATATCTCAAATTCCCCATATCTGCACAGGACACGTAATTCTGACGGATCCGTCAACGACAGGTAGACAGAGCCGTATTTAAGAGTGACATCTTTGTATTAGTCTTTATTATCTCCTAATCAAATTTTCTAAAGAGTTGTTAGAAAGTACAAAATGAACATGTAGCGTACAAATAAACCAAAACAATATTGCAAATGAACTTTTCTAAATAAAAGAGCTGTTAGCAAGTACAAAATCAATATGTAGTGGACAAAAAACAAAACACGGCCCTGTCTACCTGGCATTAACGGATCCCTCAGAATTACGTGTCATTTGAGGATATGGGGAATTTTGAATTATTATAATATGTCCAGGCAAGACAACTATTGAAATATACTCTACTACTTGCATTTTTTAAGTGTTGTGTAACGATTTCGGAAAATATTTCACTACGGATAGTCTTCTAGAGTTTAGTAAAATACATTTCAACAGTACTGCGTGGCCATGTTATCTTTACTCAGACAGGATACTCATGAAAAAGACAATAGTACCGCAGCAATAAAATTGGGTATGTCTTCAATACCCTGTGTTTAATACTGTTAAATTTACCTGAAGGAGAGAAAATGGTGGTTGGGTGTCTAGCATCATTTTTCGTTCTTACCTTAAACAATTCTTTGTTCTGTGATTTTGCCGGGAAAGTGACAGCTGCTAACGATTCTAACCTCAAATTTTACCTCTGTCTTGTGTTCTTTTTTGCCACGGCCGTTACAAAAACTCGTGTAGTCTCCCGACATTTTAAAAAATACGTATTCTTTAACATAAGCAAAGTATAAATTCTTCTAAATTGTCCAAACAACTACATTCAAAATGTTTTGGGGTACGTAAGTGCGTAGTTTAAATAGTTTTTGAGTTATCCGTTATGTGTATGATACCTTCAGACACGTGTTGTACAACTTTACATGTTCACGTTTTTTTTATACCTTTAGGTTTGATAATGGAGCCTCAAAGGCGTTACACACAAACAGTAAAGAAAGCCTTCCATATCTCCATGGCTGCATTAGATTATTCCACATCTTCAGAAGAACCAGCCCAAGTCATGTGTGGTTATGAGGGCCGAAACTACCTTCTTTGCACGTTGAGGAAACCAGACGTTATGCAGTGCCCATTGGATTTGAATTTTGAGGTACCATAGTTTTTTTCAAATACTGCACTTTATTAATGATAGCCAGCCCAATGCTATATTTGCACATTCAAAAATTACCCAAGGTAAAATGGGAAACTGTAGCATCATCTATGAGAATTTGTTTGCTGTTTCTGTAATATACAGGGTGTCCGAAAAGTTGGGGTTTTCCTTTACACGACGTGTAGATCTTGAAAACATAAGCAATTTTTCTTAGTACCATATACACCAATGTCTTGAGGGAACCGAGATAAAGGGCTCTGCAACATCAAAAATATCTGAATACCGTCCTGTAGCCGCGACTCGCGACATCCCCGAGTGGTACTAGGACACTAGCTCAACCCGACGACAGAACTGGGTCGGGGTCAGTGTGTCAGGTCAGTATGCAACCTTCAACCGACGGTTACGGTCACGCGTGTAGAGCTAAACGAACCCGTATAATCGATTGCGTTTCAAAAAACAACAAGCACTAGAGACGTGGCTAGAGAAGTGCAAGTATCAAAAACTAAAGTGTGGCAAACGCTGCGTGAAGAGGGGCTGTATCTGTTTCACGTCCAACGTGTACAAGCCCTTCAACCTGACGATTTTCCAGCAAGAGTGCGGTGTTTTGAGTGGTTGTTGCATCAACATGACAATAATCCGGACTTTTTGAAGTGCATATACGTTCACGCGTAATAGGGTGAATAACTTTCGCAACACTCATGTTTGGTCAGTAGAAAATCCGCACGCTGTCCGTCGGGCACATTTTCAACAAACATTTTCGGTGAATGTTTGGGCTGGCATGGTGAACGGTATCCTCATTGGACCATTTATTCTCCCAAATCGATTGGACGGGATGCAATACCTAGACTTTTTACGCAACATTTTGCCTTCCTTGTTAGAAGATGTGCCATTAAGTGTAAGACAATCAATGTGGTTTCTGCACGATGGTCATATTTGTTACCTCTCTTCGTGGTCTGCACCACCGCCGGCGTCTGCTCGTTAGCGCATCAGCTGATTTCATTTTCTGCTGGAGTGGTATGATTTCGGGCAGAGACGTACTTAGAGTGGAGAGTGAGTACTTTTCCTTTATTTTTTTTTACTTGGTCGCCCTCGTTTCACTACACATTACCTTTGTTATTTCAAGGGTAGTTGTTTCTGAAAAGGAAAACCCCAACTTTGCGGACACCCTGTATACTTTGAAAATGTTCATGGATGGTGCTGTCTATATGAGCAACTACAAGCATAAAGGTGACTACAGTGCCATCTATGACACACTAACCTGTGACATCCTCATAGATGATGCTACATTATCTCATTTTACCTCAGATAATTTTTGGTCAGGCATATATAGTATTAGGTTGGCTATCTTCAGGTAGGATATCAATGGTAGTACTTTATACTGAGGTTATTCAACACTCCAATTAGCAATTATAGCAGAATTGGAACTATGAAGCTTATTCTTTGACAAGATGCTGTAAATATGAAACGTTTTAATGGATTTATACCAATTTTGCTGCGACTAAACTACACAAGAGCTTAAAAATTATTGTGAAAAAAATAGAGGAGTTTGTAGTAGTTTATTTTATGTATTTATTAATGGTACACACATGAAAGAATCCCAAAGAGTACATTAAAAACAGACACAACTAAATTTAAATATAGAACTAAGGAAAAAAAATAAGTGAAGTGAAGAAGCAAAAATATAAGCTATAAGTATATTTTGTAATGTTTAACATCATTTACTTTACATGTTTATAAATATTAGTTGAAAATTGTAATAAAAAGAGTCATTTCTGAAAATCTGACAATATGTCTGATTTGAAAAATTGATGCTGAAACCAGATCACTAGTGAAAATTGTTAATCATCAGTTAAGGTTTTCATGTTAATAATCCTCCATGTTTGTTTATATGTGGTTTGATTCTGCCAGAGAATGGTGTCCTATAAGTTTTGGGGGTTACATTCAACAAGTATTTCTAAAATAGTTAACTGGTGGTGAAATGAACATTTTAGCCTTTAACTTTGTATTAATTTTGAAGGTTGGGACTGAGGTGTCTTTTGTTTCAAATGGAAAATGTCATGTCCACCTAACTGGGTATTTGACAGATGAACTCCCTGGTGAGTTTGATGTAGATGAGGAGGAAGATGAAGCTGCAGATGAGGAAGAGTTGACAGTTAAAGAAAAAAAGAAAAACAAGAAAAGGTTAAAAAAAGCCAATGAAGATGACAATTCACGTGAGTCCACATTTTAAATTCTCCATTGAGTTGACTTTAACCGGCATAGCACAGTATAGTATACTTGGGCCCATTTTGTTTGTAGTTTTTTAAACGATCTCTGTTTTGTTACTAGTGGTGATCAGAGCAAGCATAAAATTATCTGCTATGCTGTTGACACAAATTTAGTGTTGGGTGGGACAAGTGTAGAGGACCTAACTGCTAATGGGAATCTCTTATTCAGAAGTGTGAATTTCTTGGTTGTCTGAGAACAAACTAGTGCTGAATAAATCCATAACTGATGCAACATTATTTAGAACTAACAGAGTAAAGTCGTTAAGCCACAATGTATCAATATAGATGATCATCAAATGCAGTTGACTGAAAGTGTAAAATTCTTAGGCATCTACAGGGTGTCCGCAAAGTTGGGGTTTTCCTTTACACGACGTGTAGATCTTGAAAACATAAGCAATTTTCTTAGTACCATATACACCAATGTCTTAAGGGAACCGAGATAAAGGGCTCTGCAACATCAAAAATATCTGAATACCGTCCTGTAGCCGCGACATTACCGACTGGTACAAGGTCACTGGCTCAACCCGACGACAGAACTGGGTCGGGGTCAGTGTGTCAGGTCAGTATGCAACCTTCAACCGACGGTTACGGTCACGCGTGTAGAGGTAATCGCGTAGGCAAGAATCCCTCAACAAGCACTAGAGAAGTGCAAGTATCAAAAACTAAAGTGTGGCAAACGCTGCGTGAAGAGGGGCTGTATCCGTTTCACGTCCAACGTGTACAAGCCCTTCAACCTGACGATTTTCCAGCAAGAGTGCGGTTTTGTGAGTGGTTGTTGCATCAACATGACAATAATCCGGACTTTTTGAAGTGCATATTGGTGACAGACGAATCTACGTTCACGCGTAATGGGGTGAATAACTTTCGCAACACTCATGTTTGGTCAGTAGAAAATCCGCACGCTGTCCGTCGAGCACATTTTCAACAAACATTTTTGGTGAATGTTTGGGCTGGCATGGTGAACGGTATGCTCATTGGACCATTTATTCTCCCAAATCGATTGGACGGGATGCAATACCTAGACTTTTTCCTTGTTAGAAGATGTGCCATTAAGTGTAAGACAATCAATGTGGTTTCTGCGTCTGCTCAGTAGCGCATCAGCTGATTTCATTTTCTGTTGGAGCGGTATGATTTCGGGCAGAGACGTACTTAGCCCTTCTCGTCAACTGGAGAGTGAGTACTTTTTTCTTTATTTTTTTTTACTTGGTCGCCCTCGTTTCACTACACATTACCTTTGTTATTTCAAGGGTAGTTGTTTCTGAAAAGGAAAACCCCAACTTTGCGGACACCCTGTATATTGATGAATTTTTAGATTGCACAACATATGTATTCGAACTGCTGAAGAGGCTCAATTCCATTAGCTATGGTTTTAGGGTAATATCAAGATATCTAAATAATACGAGTATGAAAATATTGTACCATGCTAATTTTGTTTAAAACTGAAAAAATCATGACTACGAATGCCTTCTATGTGTATGAGTGTCTTATATTTTTTTTCAAAAATAAAAATTTATTTCAGCTTGAGGTGCAAACTGTTTATAATACTCGAACAGTCAATGTTACTTATCTGATACACAGATTATCCTCCACAGAAAAATGCCCTATTTACATGTGTTTAAACAATCCACCAAATGAAATTAAAAACATAAAAATAGTTTACATAAATTTAAAAAGACTATTAAGCAATTTCTAATACAGTCAGAGCCTTATACAATAGATGAGTTCTATGAGAGTTGTAATAGTTTAAGATTGTAGCTGTTTTAAGATAAATAACCATGTAACACAAAACAAGGTCTGAGGTAAACTACTATAGTTATGGTGATAGTGACGCAACATTTCATTTTGTAGTGGCTATACAATTTTTGTAATGTCATTGTACAATAACATAGATTATTATTATTATGTAGCTCCGTCAAAGAGGGCAAAAAAGGCAAAGGCAGCAGAAGCTGATGAAAATGAAGAGGAAGCAGACAGTGATGAAGAAACGGATGATAGTGATTTGGATGTGAAGGCACTGCTCGAGAAATCTTTTGGAGATAGTGAAGATGATACTACATTTGCTGCTGAAGAGGAGAGTGGAGAAGAAGAGGAAGATAGTGATGATGAAGAAGAGGTTTGTTATTTTTTTTAAAAGTATATCAAATTTGTTTCTTATAAGTAAATGACTTCAATTCCATTAGAAAAAAATCTCGTTCATTGGTTTTTATTTATTTCCTCTCAATAAAAAACATTGTGTAGGAAGGGTCACATTTTCGACTCAAATCTAAAAAACCTGTATCTAATAAAAAGTCAAATAGTAAAAATAAAATTTAACCATATATCACAATATTCTTCCACACTATTTTGAATAAAATACTCTTTTAAGATATACATAAATGACTTCAGATTGTGGAAATTCTTTATTTCCAAAGGTAGTACGTTGTTCTACTGTTAACTCTGTACTCTTTGGTTTTAACTAATCAATGTGATAAGTTAAAGCTGGAGGAAGACGAAGAGTCGGATGAGGATGGTGAAGACGAGGAAGACGAGAGTGAAGATGATGAAGAGGATGAAGCGAACGTCAGCGTCAATTCCAAAAAGAATAAAATGATGAACGGCGGCCCTAAATCTCCCGTCACCCCCAAGCCGAAAGAGAAAAAACAGAAGGACAAAAGTGGCACGGAATTCAAGACTCCGACCAAGGAAGCCGCCGCTAAGTCGCCTGCCAAAGAAGCCCAGTCGCCTAAAAAGAAGTCGCTTCAAGGTGGAGTTATCATCGAGGAGGTACGCGAGGGACAGGGACCACCAGCTAAGAACGGAAAATTCGTCAGTGTAAGTTCAAGCGATTATTTCGTTTTTTTAATTCACAGGTTTTTGCATAATGTGTTATTATTTTTACTTCCTATGCCAAAAGTGGCGAAAAAATTTTGAAATCGCGGAGAATTTCGAAGTTGAGATACGTTTTTGGATGTTATATGACATGTACATCATGGAAAACCATACCACTCATTTCCGTCGTAATATAATTTTTACACAAAGTTTTTGGAAATCGGCCATTTTCGGAAATGTTTTTGTAGGGATTGAAACGTCTTTAGTATTAGTCAAAGACGTTATCTTCAAGAAACTTCTGATCCAGCAGGGTTATTACGTAAAACACCTTAAAAAAACAGAAAAAATGTCAACTTGTTGACTAAGTAAGTGAGCATGAAGTGAACAACAGTTAGTTCCAAGTTGACATCTTGTAGGAAAACCTGCATAATGTTATAAAAACCCTACATAATGTAAAAAAACCGATATAATGTCAAAAAATTACACAATGTCACTTTTTCGATGTATAATGTACTCATAATTGGCCCGTTACTAGTGCTTCATCTTTTGGCCCATGTAGATATTGAAAAAAGTGGCTTCAAGTAGATTGACTTCATACATTGCACAGTCGTCAGTGGCCTCCACGACGATGCAGCAACGCCAACGGCTGCCAGGCTACAGATTATCGGGGAAAGAAGGAATAGAATTCATTCCATTCCTTATTTAATAGTATGCCTGTAAACTTTCTTGTTTCTAAATGCATAAATGATGCCAGGTTCGAAATAAATGTCCCCAATTGATCCAAGAAACTGGTGCAGGTCGAGATTACATATACGCTAGAATTTTTGTAAAATTTTCTCTGATAGTATGCCTATTCAAGTATGCTTGGAAACTTCAATACTCCTCAGTGGACACTTCTCATTTTCATCCCCTAATATTACAAGTGAATGAAACTATGTACACCAGGGTAATTTGGAACGCTAAATCCGAATATGACTGGAAATTCTAAATTGTTGCGGAATGTAGAGGAATGGGGCTTTCCGGGGGTTCCTTTGATCTTAGCGAGAAACTGATTTGTGATCACCGCACCTGATTTAACAAAGACAAGGTTAGATCTGAGATACACGATAATCTTGAAAATGATCTTTTAAACTTTATAAGGGTTTCCAAAGCAAATTTTTTATTTTCCCTTACCGTGGCTACAATTTAGAATGCTGATTTCAAAGATGGTTATATAATTTGGGACACTGTTTTTGAATGTGATCATAGAAAAATCTAGTGTTGTGTAGACCTATTTGGAGTTGGAGCTTTGACCTTTTTGGGCATGTTGAAAATCTCAGCTAGAAATTTACCCACAGAGTTTTACTAGTATGCTGTCAATTTCAAATTTTATTTTCATGTTTTCAGGTGTATTATGAGGGTAGGCTGAAACAGAACAACAAACTCTTTGATTCCACCACAAGAGGGGCCGGTTTCCAATTCAGGCTGGGCGGTGGAGAGGTCATCAAAGGCTGGGATGTTGGAGTTGCTGGCATGAAAGTTGGAGGCAAAAGGAGAATCATCTGTCCACCAGCTATGGCGTAAGTTACATTCTTATTTTTTTTTCTCGTTACTTCTTTGGTTGAAAATTAATAGATAGGTTAATATGCTTTATTATCTGAAGAAACAATCATTCTCAATGTCAAAGCTATATATATGGATATGTGGATCTTAAGTGAATGAATTGTAGAACTCACATGGTATAATATCGTTACATATTAGATTTGTCTCTAGAATTGGAGAATTTTTTCAAATGGTGTCAAGATGCACATGGCAGATGCTTCAGAACGAATTATTATCATAGTTGTGTGTTAGAATCCCATAGATACCAGATGTTTTTTACGTCCTTGAATACATTGTCCAATACATGGTTTTTTGAACATATCTGAAATATTTCCTTTATTTCATTCGAATAAGTTCTTTAATGACTCCTCTTTCAGATATGGAGTGAAAGGTTCTCCCCCAGCCATTCCACCAAACAGCACGCTCGTTTTTGAAGTAGAATTGAAAAAGGTTAAATAAGTTCATCATTCTGTTAAATTATTCACGTTATCTGTTAAGTGTACTCTATGTTACTTTGTAAGGTGTTTTCTACTGGTTTATTCGATTATTTTTATCTTTACCTGCCTAAAACCGTTAAGAACTGAAATATAAGTATTTTTTATTATCAGTTTGTTTTATTTATGGTAACTGTGACCAGCAAGCAGCCAGTTTTACGATTTTTTTTCACATACGCACGTACGCAATGTAACATTTTTGATTTTTTGCCAGTTTCATTCAGATGTAAATAGAGTGGCTTAAAAAAATCGATATTTCTGGATCGTCTTTTGTAAATATGTCATAAATCAATATGAAAATTAAGCCGATTTTTATCTATCCAGATCCGTAAAAAGGCAACCATAGATAAAAATTTGCTACCAGGATCGGAGAAACGGAACGAGGCATGAAAGGGACATGTTTATTGGAGTACTTAACTCTCGATATAAATGTAAAGCAAGAAAGCCAAACCTCTTACTGGTTCTGCAATCCTGTCACGATTCTCATTAATGACAGAAAGCTTGCAGCAGTAGCATCCCCAAGTTCTGTTGACGATCTATTACTATAGCACAAAACCTAGGATTGTATTGCACCAGCAGAATAACAGTTCTTTTGAAGAAAATTCATTAGGATAGCAGAAACGCGAGGAGGTAGTAAAGAAGTGTCCTGCAGTCTTGGTACTATAATAATCAAGAACGAAAATCTAACCCCAAGTTATATTGTGTAGATTTATTAGAACTGTAGAAAAGTCAAACTTTCAACATAAAGGCGGCAAAGTCTGGTACTGCAATCTTGATACTATAAACCTCTCTCTGGTTCTGCGGACTTGTTACTATTTTCATCAATAACGAAATCCTTGTATTATACCAGTAACATATTCAAGTTCTTTTGATCAAGATTTATTAGGTTAGCAGAAAGGCGAGAAGGTAGTAACTTTCCTTTCGATATAAATGCGGGAAAGCCAAACCTTTCGTTGGTTCTGTGATCCTGATACTAATTATAAATCATCTTTTGTATTGTACTAACAAGCATCTTTGAGTCCTTTCGACAAGAAGTTATAAGGATAGCAGACACACGAGGAGGCAGTACTTTGCTTTCAATATAAACCTCACACTAGTTCTACACCTTTCATACTATTCACACTCTCTCAAGATAGTAGAAACGCCATTTTATTTCGATATATAGGCGGTAAAGCCATACCTCTCGCTAGTTCTGGAATCCTGATACTATTTTCATCAATAACAAAGATGTACTAGCAGCATTCCCAACTACTTTGGATGAACATTCATGAGAATAGCATAAGCGCGGGGAAGTACTACTGTGCTTTCAACATAAGGCCGGGAAAGCTAAGCCTCTGGTATGGTTCTGCGATCCTATTACTCTTTTCATCAATGAGGAAGTATTGTTATCAGCAGCATATTCAAGTTCTTCCGACGAATATTTTATCAGGATAGCAGAAACGCAAGGGGGTAGTACTTTGCCTTCTTTTTTTTTATACTCTAACTACCAGGAAGGCCTAAGCACCCATTGGGTACCGTGGGGCTATAGGGGGATACATGGGAATGGGGGGGGGGGAGGTCGCCACACGGACTCTGGCGAGGGAACACGTGTGCATGCAACATGCACACATTCTGGCTCCGCCTACGAGAACCGCCGGGTGGTACCTCCGCGTTCGACAGTCAGAGACCATCTACCACCTACGGATAATCACAACATCCATAGCCAAAAGAAAAATTTCTCCTGGGACGGGACTCAAACCCGCACAGCGCACGGCGACTGATCAGGAGACCGAAGAGTCTACTACTGCGGCCACCGCTGCTGCCTTCGATGTCAAGGCAGAAAAAACAAACCTCTCGTTAGTTCTGCAATCCTGATAGTATTCTCAGCAATAAAAAATCTTCCACTAGCAGATTTTCGCCACTACTTCTGATAGTACTGTGTTTTCGATATAAAGGCGGAAAAGCCGAACACCTAGCGTGGTTTTGCGACTCGCTTACTATTTTCATCAACGATGAAGTCCTTGTATTGTATTAGCACATATTCAAGTTTTTCGACAATGATTTATCAGGATAGTATTTTGCTTTCGATGTCAAGGCGGGAATAGCAAACCTCTCGTTGATTCGGTGATCCTGATGCTATTATCAAGATGAACACATTTTGTATTATATCTTAAAGTCATTTTGACGAAGAGGTATTATAGTTGCTGAAACACGAAGAGGCAGTACTTTTCTTTCATTATAAAGGTGGTAAAGCCAAACCTCACAATAGTTCTACACCTCTGATACTACCCTCACCAATAAGAAACGCTGTATTTTGATTTCGATATAGGCCAAACTACTTGCTGCTTCTGCAATCGTAATACATTCTCATCAATGATAAAAAGAAGAAGATACGATATTCATCAGGATAGCGGAGTAGTTAAATATAAAGGCGGGAGAGATAAACCTCTGACACGGTGCTGCGATCCTGTTGCTATTTTCATCACTCACCAAGACTTTATACAGGGGGCGGCAGAGAGGGCGGACGGTTTTGGTATGGGTAGTACTCTCCGCCTCCGTCTACGAGAGAGGTGGGGAGGGTGCCGTTTGACTCGTGAGATCCTAGCATTATTTTACCAGTTGTCGTTATGGAGCCTTGGACGGTGGAGCACCGCGTTTTCGCCTATGATTCGTTGGGTTGAATCACTTCGCAGGCGTGGTGAACTGATCAACAGAAGACCAAGAGGAGCGTCGCGAACAGTGCGAACTCCTGAAAATGTTGAACGCGTTCGACAGGTCTTTCTTCGCAATCCGACTCGATCTGCCCGGAAACATGCTGCTGCACTTCGGCTTAGTGATCGTTCGGTAAGGCGAATTTTGCAAATGGATCTCCGCTTACACCCCTACAAACTGGCCATTGTGCACCAGTTGACAGCCTGGAGATTATGCACAACGAATGAACTTCGCACGTGAGATGGAAGCACTGATCGATCAAAATGAGAACCTCATTTTGTTTATGAGTGACGAAGCCCACTTTCACCTAAACAGCATGGTTAACCAGCAGAATTCTCGTTATTGGGCTAATGAAAATCCGCAACAGTTACACGAAAGATCGCTGCACAGCCCAAAACTTGCATCATTAGCACTTACTTCTTCGAAGACGGTAATGGTCGTGATGTTACCGTGAACTCAGAGCGCTACGTCGACATGATCACCAACATCTTTCTCCCTGAATTACGACGGCGACGTGTTCCAATCAGACGTGTGTGGTTCCAGCAGGCCTCTCTTCCCTGGTCGCCTTATTTCCAGGTGTGGCGATGTTCATTGGCCTCCTCGGTCCCCAGATTTATCTATATGTGATTTTTTCTTATGGGGACACCTCGAGGCTAGAGTATACGCGAACAAGCCCCGAACTGTGGACTAATTGAAGGGCGAAATTCGCGTGGAAGTCGCCCAAGTTGAGAGAGCGATGTTGGAGAGAGTCCAAGAACTTCCTTCCAAGAACGCCTCCAGCACTGAATTAACGATTTCGGCCACCACATGCCTGATGTGATTTTCCACACTTGACTGTCTCAAATGCTATTTCCTTGTGAACCCGATTCCATCAATAAATTTGTTTTCGAGTAAAAATTAACTATTTTATGATTTTTTTAAAACCGTCCATCCTCTCTGCCGCACCCTGTATTTATCAGGATAACAGAAACGCAAGGGGGTAATACTTTGCTTTCGATGTTAAGGCGAGAAAAGCGGACCTCTCAATGGTTCTGCAATCCTGATACTATCCTCATCAATAAAAAAATCTTGTACTAGCAGTATTCTCAACTACTTTTGGCGAATACTCAATAGGATGACAGAAATGAGCGGAGGTAGTGCTGAGCTTTCAATATAAACGCGGGAAAGCCAAGCAGCATGGTTCTGCGACCCTCTTATTATTTTCATCAATGACGAAGTTCTTGTATCAGCAGCATATTCAAGTTTTTTCGATGAAGATTCATCAGGATAGCAGAAACGCAAGGGGTAGTATTTTGCTTTCGATGTCATGGCAGGAAAACCAAACCTCTAGCCAGTTCTCCATCCTGATCCTATTCTCATCAATAACAAAATCTTGGACTAGTAGCATCCCCAAGTATTTTTGACGAATATTCATTAGAATGGCACAAGTGCGGGGATGTAGTTCTGTGCTTTTAATATAGAGGCGGGAACGCTAAGCCTTTGGCATGGTTCAGCGACCCTGTTACTATATTCATCCTTGACAAAGTGTTTATTGTATCCGCAGCATATTTTTCTTTCGACGAAGTTTTATCAGCATAGCAGACACCCAAGGGGAAGTACTTTGCCTTCCATGTCAAGGCAGAAAAACCAAACCTCTCGCTAGTTCTGCAATCCGAATATACTATTCTCATAAATCTTGTTTTAGCAGCATCTCCAAGTATTTTTGACGAATATTTGTTGGGATTGCAGAAGCGCGGGGAGGTTACTTCCTATGTACTTTCAATATAGAAGAGGGAAGGCTACACCTGTTATGAAGGTTGAATTGGATAGTAGAAATGCGAAGTGGTATTACTTTGTCTTGGATATAACGACAGAGAAGCCACACCGTCACTGGTTCTGCAATCTGATAAATCCAGAAAATCTCGAACCATATCAGCAGCATCTGCAAATTCTTCTGACAAGACGCGAAAATGTCTACTTTACTCTCGCGCGTGAGTGGTTTTGTGATTCTAAAACTAAATTCGTGATATTACATACAACCTCATATCTCGCCAACTTTCCCTTACAGGATCCCCAACTTCTTTTGTTGACGATTTGCTTTCAGGAATGCAGAAACACAAGAGGCATGTACCCTTGAATTGGAGAGAAATTTGAACCCCTTGGTGACTGTGATTCTGATACATAATTTCCAGCTAAAAAACCATATATCGGGCCAAACTCTATGGCATCAAAGACCCAGTTCAGATTGGACAATTAGATACTTTTTTCGAAGTTTCCATTGATAGGTTTGTGAGGGGCGCCTGATTCTTTGAGTAAGCCAATAGGTTTCAGGAAGAATTTAAGCAGACATGAGATTTTATTGCACCTAACACACACCAGGAAATGGTATCATGATTCGGCTCCATACTTATTAAGGGTAAAGTGAAATTAGAAACTGTTTTTCTGAATAATATGTATTTGAATATATAATTATATATACATAAAAATAGCTTGGTAACAAACTCTTATGACGATGTTATACAAACACAAATAAATTAAAATCCTGCGTCATCGTGAGAATAAAAACCACAAAATTATCTTGGTATATTTTTGAGTCGCTCTTATATGATTGTTTGCACTTAATGGCATCCTTGTCATATGAAAGTCTTTAATATTTCCGATTAAGAACGTAATTTGAAATATCAACGAGCACTAGACGTTATTCTATTAAAGAGCAATGTCTAGGCAATTACCATCAATCATGAAGAGTTGCTCTCCATGAAGTGCATGCGTTTTTCCATGACAAGAATTACAGAAAGTTAGGTCCCCGAGATGCAATAAAATGACGCAGGTGGAAACGGCAAGTGAGAATGGTACATCTTATAGGATAAGTTCGACGAAAGCGGTGTCCAGATCGTCTCCAATTTCCTTGTATCGTTCCTTTTCGGCGACCAGCTCGTCTGTAAAGCAATTGAATGTCCAATACTTTGTCGTTTGTCATGAAGCCGAAAATCTGGGTTATGATTCAACTTGAGGGGGAATCTGTACTTACGGATTTTCTTAAAAAAGTTATGTTATCAGATAAAATCAAATTTTCCGCTTCCATGACACAGGGTGTCAAATCTTTATAGTCAACGAAAAATTGTACACCACTGGATTTTGCGAAAAATAAGTATCGCTTTCAGAGTGTCATATCGATTCTGTTTGAAAGGGTTACGTTCGTTAAAAAAGTGTCGACTCAATTACTATAATCTAATTTACTCCACGTCAAAGGAAAAATGAGTACCCGATCGCTGCTTCCGTCAGGTTGTCGCTGTCTGCTCAGGCATTTATGGTTCGTGTTTGTCTTGACGGGGAGTAAATGAGAGTTACACACATACACAGAATTTTTTAAGAACGAGGTTCTGTACTGGAGAAATAAAATAATTTATATTTTTAGAACGGTGTCTGAATAAAAAAAATCAGGAGTCGGTTTTAAAGTAGGATTAACCTGGCTTTAATATACTGATATCATTTTTATGCAATGCAAGAACCAGTGGGGTACCGTTTTTTTCTAAGCATAAAACTTGCTGGCATGAGAACGCCACTGATGTACCTAACACAACAATTTTGTACATTTTAATGTGGATTTTGATAAAACGAGTACCAAAACTTATCTGAATCTAAATGAAATGCAACCTATCAAAGGTGTTATGGAAATGCAACATTTCCGGACTAAACCTTTCCTTGAATCTTCCTGACAACATGATGTAACACTCTAATTATGTTAAGAGTTATGGCAATTTTCGGAACATTCCATTTTATTGTGGCAAACGGCGCCTGAATTTATACAGCAAATTCCATTTCAAGGGTAGCGGGTACTTTTTTTTGGATCATTGTCAGTCTTCAGCATCACGCACTTTCAGTACACTCAATTCAATTGATTCTACTGATTTTAAGCAATTCATTCAGACTAAAGTATAAGGATCGATTTGTTCGTCTACAAATCCTCAGTCTGTAGTCAGGATGAAAGTGCATGCTACAAGTGGATTTGACATGTAATTTTTTGACAGGTCCGTCATTAAATTCATATTTTTAGTGTTTAGTGCGTGTGTTTGCAGCTAATTGTGGTGTTAGAGGATTTCAGGATATGATACTTCCTGCATAATTTGTCGAGAGCGGCACAAACCTGATGAAAGTAGATCTTTCCACCGGTAAGAATTATGTTGATACACTGTCACCTTGGTAGTCAAATGAGTAAAAAATATGCTCTAAAACTAAGCAATTTTGGCGACAAACAATGCAATGTAAAGATATGGGTTAGGCTCTTTCTAACCTATTCGAATTCGATTTTATTATTAGCAGAATTTCGTGCAAGTCATGTAATTTGCAACTGCTGTTATGGAATATTCCAGAAGAATGTTTAATAGAAGATAAATTAATTTTGATTGATTGTTTTAATATCCACTTTTTCTGATTGCTTATAAAATTAAAATACCGCAGCTAACATTCATATATGAAGGAAAATTCTACCCAAAATGGTAATAAGATCTATCTGAAGTCAGTATTGGGTCCTAAGTGTTGTCAGCAAATCGATGTCAGGTTTTAAATCGTTCATTTTTTTTGTCAACAGGTCGATGTTCTTATGTGAAAGTGACTACTACGATTTGAAGTTTCGAAATTTGATATAAAAATATATATGTGCTTTCCGACTAGACGGAGACGAAGAAACTAGTTTTCAGACTAGTCAAAAATGAAGTAGCATTATTTAAAAATTTACCTTATATTTCCAATCTTTTGTAAAGACCTGATAACAAAGAAATATTTTTGAAAATTCGTTCGACAATATCGTTTGCGTAACCCAGATTTTCTCATAACTGTAGATTGTTTTCAGTAAGGCACGCCAATCTGTTAAGTCACACTCATGCAAGGCAAAAAAAAAAATAACAACGGTTAGAATTAAAAACTTTTTATAACTAAATAAAATACATGTTAGAATATAAACAGGCTTTTATAAGGCTAGAATTTCATAATTAAATAATTATAATTAATAGAAAAAAATAGAATAATGCGCTTGTGAATAAAGGAATCAGTACCTTCGTTACCGAACTATGCAAAATATTGAATTTCCAGCTGAATCCTTTACAAACAAGCCACCAAAAATTACAGGGAATTGACTAAATTCATAGTAAGTAATGTACAATATACAAAATAATTTGATAAACCTTTTAAAAAAAATACAAAAAATATTTTGGGCCGTTTTTTAAATGGCAGTGTTATTCCATTATATTGCAGCTAAACAGAGATCTTACGGACTCTCTATTTTCAGCAGACGCAAAATACATACAACTGCCATCGCGACTTATTTTCGAAAAACTTTTCGAAAACGTTAGCAATCTGGACATTGAGCTCGTTTGTGGGAAAATACATATGGAAGACCCGAATAATGGTTTCTACAACCATTATCCCGATTCTAATTTTTATTAATTTTAGATGGGATGACCATTGAGCTATCAAAAAGGAATGTTAGTATATTCTTACCTACTACTACATATACTATTGCTTTATTTTAAGACTAGTATCCTCCGTTCTTAAGGTTATTGATATATCCTAAGGCCTGCAATATTTCGCAAAAGGATATCTATATTAGATAACACCTATATTTAAACTTTTGAGAAACCTTAAGAGGATTTACCTGATATAAACTATATTTTTTGGAGAATTGATATACTTAAAATACATTAGAGTGGAATAAAAACGCATGTTCAGATTGAACATACTATGGAATGTTTGAAAATGATTCCTACAAAGAAGTATTTTTATTTGCTAAACGTTGAGTAAACTATGCTACTTGAGATAGCGATTTTATAAATGGCATTCATGATTCATAGAAAGAGGAATGTACTGTGTCAAAACAGGAATGAAAAAGGCATGAGAATATTTTCTTTGTTTTTATACAGAGAATGATTTTTGATCTACATGACTTGATAATATTGGGAAATAAGGGACAACTTTCACATTCTCATAATTCACACTCTCTTGGTTTCAAGGCAATTAACACGCTACCGACAGTCCTTCACAAAATTAATGTGACATTTTGAAAATGTCTTTGCAAAACCTACCTATTATTGAGTACACAATTTTACGTTACAAAAATATATCTAAGCTGTACAGATTAACTACGATGTTTATTTTCGAAAAGTTTTTCTTATATCAGTATAAAAAGCGCATGATTAACATGAAAAATCCCAAGCACCAGAACGTATTTTTTACAACCGATATCACGTATAAGTGGACAGTTCCTTCGCGAAAATCAAAACGGGAATGACACAATAGGCTCCGGCCTTATATCTTATTATCGCTATTCTTTTCTCTTTCACGAGCTCTCTCACAATGTGTTTTTCAAAATTGGCGTGTGGGTGTGATTTTTTTTGTGTACGTGTAGATGTGCAACGACGGACGGCGGATTTTTACATATTTTGGATATCGTGCAATGTGGCCTCCATTTCGTCGGCGAGCATTTTGTTCTTTTCTTTCTCCAGCAAAAGGTCGTCTGCAAGGCAAGGGTTATAATGCAGCAACACAACAACAGACGCAGAAAAAAACAACAACGAACTAATTTTCGATTATCGAAACTTTATCAATTATCAGATTTTCAACTTTCTACCAAAAAAGGGCAGCTATTTGCAAATAAAAAAAAAATGCATACATCAAGAAAAGTCGTTTATTTCCGTCAGTCTGACTATCTGCCATGTTTTCTACCACGCGTTCAGCTATCCAAGAGTCTCAACAAGGTGTTTTCAAAACATGAGGGAAAAACTCGAGACACCATTCTTTGAAAGATGCTAAAACTATTTTGCCTCTTGAAAACTAGATTAGATACGTTTTTAAGATCCAGGACAAGCAGAATTTTCAAAAATAACGATACTGCAATTTCAGAAACTGATCAAATTGTGTAGAATCATTGATTAGCATATTCTACCCGAAGACGAAGAAGAAAACTAATAGCGCCATGTATGACTCGGCAACAGTACACAAAAATGAATTTAGAAAATTACTTAGAAATCGAGTTAGTGTTTGATTCTGCTGTTTCATAGATGGCGCTAAGATCCTCAATCACTTTTTGACACCTCTCCAATGTGTGATGGAAAACGTTGATCAATGTCTAAAAATATCCAATTACAATAGTCATTAGAGAGGCGCCAAAAAGGGATTGAAGAACCCAGCGCCATCTATGAGATAATAGCAGAACCAAAAACTATAACTATTTTCAAAGTAGATTTCTAAATTATTTTTTTTTGTCTGTTATTACATAGATAACATTAAATCTACTTCATCTACTCAATGGTAATACGGAATATTTAATTATTTTTCTAATAAATTGCCGAACCCTGGTAATATCGATCCTGATGTATTTGAAATGGTTCGGTAATGTATGACGCGATGATTGTAATAATGCATTAAGTAACTAAGAATTTATAAAAGTGCCCTGAACATTTCGCTATACAAAATTGACACTGTAGCATTAATACCAAATAAATCTTCAACAAACCAAAACTTTTCGAAAATTGCGCATAGTATTTTCCGACAAATGAAATGCAATGACATTTTTTTTTATAAAATCGGAGCACTGCGCCGAGACTGATTTAGAAAAGTTACGGCAGACAGATTGAACAAAATAGTCATATGGACTGGTCGATATTATGAAAATTAGTTCGTTTGTCGATGTTAGGTGTAAAAATAAACAAATAAAATAAAAATATGCTCTTTAAGATGCATAAACAATAGCAGTGTATTGTCAACACAGAAAACAAGAAAACGACGTTTTGCAGATAATACATACCTTCCAGTCTGTCGACCTCCTTCTGTAATTTCTGTACGGAACGTTCAGCAAATTCAGCTCTGGCTTCAGCCTATAAGAGAAGATAAATGCTTCGTTGAAGACTTTTGTAGCTATACTAAATTGGCAACATGTAACAAGGAGATATAAGATATATATATAAATATCTTGAACAGAACATGTACGTGTATCAACCGAGTTACAATGCGCGTGAAATTTGATTGAATTTAAGAACTAAAATGTCTATGATTCTGGGACCAGTTCAATTGGAACTTCATTGGGCTATTTTTGTGATGGTTCTTTACAGAAAATGTTTTATTACATATAAAAATCTTTACTATTTCGAAATCACTGAACTTTTTCTCCTTGTTACATATGCTTGAATGATCAAAGAAAAATTGGAAGCAAAAATAAAAGCAAGTAATAATATAAAACTCATTACTGCAGTGTGAGTGAAAAAATGTGGGTTAGAAAAAGCTACTGCTAAGTCAACGCAAACTAATTTAAACAATACCAGGCCTTATTTCTATAATGTGTATTGGAGGAAGGGTAATCGCAAAATAATAACATTAAGGCCCTACTGATCTCCTTGTACGTCCTCCCTCATATATCAATCAGAGTTAGATTATCAGCCATCTCAAACTGTCAAAGAAGGTGGTAATAAGGTCCACAGGAGCATCCCTTATATTATCCGTAGATTTCCCAGATTTAAATATGAATTCATAGGACATTAGGACAGTCGCAAAGCAACTGCTCGAACGACTTATCTGCCTATTCTCATCTGCATAAGTATATGACTCATACTATAGGATGGTACAGTAGCTGACAGTGTTGTAGACAAAGAAAAGTCTTCGTCACTAGGATTGTCCAAAACCAACGAAGTCAGACTAGTTTTGTCAGATTTCAGATTTGTTTGTCTCCAAAATATCAGTCCAGATTCCAGGACATAATGCTTCTTGCATAATTTGCAAAGAGCGGCACATAGTGAAGGTAAATATTTCCACTGGTAAGTGTCATTAGTATGTTGATACAACGTTGTTATTTTGGTGCAGTCAAACGAGTCAAAAGTATGCACCAAAAGAACACCATTTTCGAAACTAATAATGCATTGTAAGCATATATGCTTGACTCCAAAGATATTCGAATTCGTTATTTGGAACTCCTATGTTTCTCTGGCCACATGAAACCACATGTGTTGATTCAACAAAAAAGTGGAGTTTACCTCTCTGTACCATTTCGGGATCATATCAGGCACATTTCAATTTTTGTCGGCGCTGGTATGCGATTATCACACAAAATCGAACACCTAACAAAACTGGGTTAGTGATTCAAGACAAGCTCCACACCACAATCATTGATACTTACAGGATCTATGGTGCATAAATGAAATGTTAGCAATCGAGGAAATATCTACAAATATGAAGATGATGTACGTCCATAGAATCAAAAAGTGCACCTTATACCAAAGCAAGTCGGGGGGACCATCGAAGGAATAACTACCAAATCATCAAAATGTCAGGACTGTGATAAAACCATAGAAAACCAGACAAAGGAAGTGATTTTTTCAGTGAATCGCTGTTTTTTATTAAAACTCTTTAAATTGAGTCACGGAAATATTTTTAAACAAGGAACAAGTACTTCGCCAAGCACTTAAAGACAACAGTTGAATTTTGAACTGCATGTATCTCCAAAAGTTCCGATTTTGAATTTGTACTAGTGATTTCTAATAATATTAAAGTACCAAGTACAATTTGCTGGTAAGATGTACATGCACAATAAATGTAAAAGAAAACATAACACGTGACTTTCACATAATCAATATTCAAGTTGTTTTTGATATAATTGGATAATGATACTGAACGGTATCTGACAAGAAAAAACGATTCACCTGTCAAAGGGAACATTTGTGCATTAGTGCAATGGAAATTTCTGATCCGCTAGAAGCTTATTGCCCGTGAATAAATCATTATTCCCACCACCTCTGTAAATTTAGTTGCAAATATTACAATTTCATATGTATCGCTAGATATTCAGTGAATTACTGGTGTTACAAGATTTCTGTTCTTTTCAATAGAAATATCGGTACAAGGTCGATATCGTATGATACAAGTCATTTTGTCTCTATAATTTACCCACTATTTTTTTGCCTGTTCAAATCAGTTATTTAGGCGAAAAATTTGTCCTCACTACAAATTTTGGGTATTGTGAACATATCTAGAACAGCGAACTTAGGAACAATTCAACTACTTTTCAAAAGATGCTAAGGAACTTTATTATGTACGAATATGGGTTTCTAGTTTGTTTTTTTTTGTTGAAATCGATTAGGTAGTCTGAATTATCTTCAGATTATTACTGATATCCACTATATATTAAAAAAAGATTCGAGTTTGCTTAAAAAATTGATCTTATTGCAAGCCATAATTTTGAAAAAAAAATCTCGGAATCAGATGTATCATAGGTAGCTCTGTGAATGATAGTCGTGTTTGAATTCGTATGTTAATTAGAGCTGTTTCTTGTCTCGTCTTTTTTAACGACAATTTTCTAACTTTGAGATTAAAATCGAGGCAGTTTTGCCGATGTATGGTGGGGCCCCTATGATAATTTCGGTATAAAAGCCAAAATCAAGTGGCAATTTTATTTCAATTTCCGAGATCTCAAACCATATTAATTACCAAGAGTTTTCATTTTTTAATATGAATGCAACAGATCGTACGCAGCTCGGGATTCATAATAATATGGGGTTGTCCAAAACAGACGCAGGAAAGTAAACGCATATTAAAACAAGAAAGATTGATATTCAAATCAAGTTGGGTACTTTATTTTGAAGGAAAAATAATATCGCTCAAATGTTCACCACGACTGGATTTACAGACGTCCACGCGATGGTCGAAATTTTCAATGACATTTTGCAACATGGTCGGTTCTATTTCATTTATCTCGGCAATGATGTTGTTTTTGAGTTCTTGGAGGGTGGCTGGTGTGTTGACGTAGACTTTGCTTTTCAAATATCCCCATAAAAAGAAGTCCAAGGGAGTCAAATCGCACGATCTTGGTGGCCATGGCACATTTCCTGTGCGCGAAATCACGCGATCACCGAAGAAGGACTGCAATCGATGGATATTGACGTTGGTTGTGTGGCATGTTGCACCGTCTTGTTGGAAACAAACATCGTCCATATCCATTCCTTCAAGTTGCGGCAAAAAATAGTCCTCTATCATCACGTGATATCGCTCAGAATTGACGGTAACGGCGTCCCCGGCCGCATTTTCGAAAAAGTAAGGTCCGATGATGCCTTTTGACCACAATGCACACCACACAGTCACTTTTTGAGGATGCATCGGCTGCTCTTGATACTCACGGGGATTTTCGTTCGCCAAGATGCGGCAGTTTTGCTTGTTTACCGTCCCATTCAAAGTGAAATGCGCTTCGTCGCTGAACATGATTTTTGATGAAAAATTGGCATCAATTTGGCGGGGTTCAAGGAGCCAATCTGAGAACGTTCGGCGCGAAAAATGGTCGGCCCGACGCGGCTCTTGCGTCAATTGGATCTTGTAGGCGTGTACATTCAAATCCTTGTGGAGAATGCGGAGCAAACTGGTTCTCGAAATGCCCAAATCTTGGGATCGACGCGTTGTTGATTGTTTCGGATCGTCTCTCACACTCTCCTTCACAACAGCAATATTTTCCGGTGTGCGAACGCTCCTTGGCCGGCCAGAGCCTGGCAGATTTGCCACAGAACCTGTTGCCTCGAATTTACGCACCAGACGACCGATGGCTGTTTCGTTTGGGCGGTTGTTGCGACCGAAATGTTCACGAAGCGCGCGAAACGTGTTTTTTATTTTTGTACCATTTTTGTAATGCTCTTGAATAACTTTAATGCGGTCTTCAATCGAATACGGCTCCATAGCGATCAATGGTAAACATTCAACTAACAAAATGACATGTCGGTGACAGAAAACAAAGATGGCGTCTATGTCAAATTGACGTTTACTTTCCTGCGTCCCAATTATCACGTTTTATCTAATTTTATCAAGTATCGGTCAATATTACCTAAAACAACTTATACGAATCATAACCAAGGGCACAAAGTTTTGATATTCTAATACTACATTCCTACAATACAACCACATTCTTGATAAACTAATCATTCACTGTTGGCTCCAGCTCCGGTCACGCTCTAAATATCAGTGCTAGGATTATTCTTTCTAATGAAAAGAACATTTATCTCTTTTGTAACCCTTTCCCTTTACACCAAGCATCTCTAAGTAAAATACTCGATCTATTCAAGCCCACGACTTACTTCGCGCAACTTATCAGAGACGCTACGGATTACGTCTTCGCTATGCTCTCTTGTGACAGCTGCCTACGCATACAGACATATACATAGATACATTTACAGCAAAAGCTCTCTCAAGTTACCGTGTAGCGAGAGGACAATATACAAATATAGGGAAATATGATACATAATACAGACCGATCGTTATCTTGGAGTATAGTCTGAAAAAGGTTCGACACACATCAGTGTAAATTGAAAAATAATGTCAATATTTGAAGGTGAAAAAATAGGATCTAAAATAGTTTGCGATCCTAAACACCACGAAATGTCTATCATTTGTTAAGGACGGTGATGAGACACGCAAAGGTTCTTAAAATTTGTCTCAAAACATCATAGGCAAAAGCGCCTTGATAACATTTCCCTTCTGTTGTTATCAAGCTAATGATAATTGGTAATTTGCGGTGATGAATTTGAGTGAAAAAATGAGGGCCTGAATTTGAATAGGAAGTCGGTTGCTTAGCGTCAAAATGACTTTTAATTCGGAATCTATGCACCCAATATACTTAGCATTGGACCAGATCAGAGATAAGCAGATTTTTTTTAAAATCTACTCATAGTAAACCTGATAAGGTTGTAAGCTAAAATTTCTATTCTCGCCTCCTTCCCAAGCGAATGCGATTTTGTACACCGATGTGATGCAGCCGTACTTGAAGTGGGACAATTGGGATTTTGGCAAAGAATGCAAAGAATAATTTTTTAGAATCTTCTTCAGTAGCCTTCAATTTCACGATATTAAAATTCCACTTGCGTCTCTTGTTACAAGTTTCTAATTTTTCCACCAAACAACCCTGACTTAGCAGCATTGGACTTTCATCTTTTTCCAAAACTTAAAAGAATTTCTTGTTGGAAAGCGCTTAGAAAATATTTTAATTTATGATACAATTAACGTCCATAAAGTTCCATTGACTCCATCACAAAACGGTTCTTACTTAAAAAAATGGATCGCGTATCAGCAAAAGTCCGCTAAAAAACAACATATATTCAAACATTCAAAGTCGTATAATATGCATCTGTTAACAAATGACGGATATTACGAGGTGGATAGGATCACTAGCACGCCTTTTCACAAATAAATTAGCATTACAACTCCGCACCTGAATCAAAACCTACACCCCAAGGCATCAATCGTTCTGCATAGGCACATTTATGTGAGTCTATACTCAAGAACCTCAGACATACAAAAAACGACCAAAATACCCCAACAACAAGAATAGGAAGACCTGCGATGCTGACCACAAACATTATACAAAAGGTTCTATACAACGAGTATCTGCAACAGCCACCTAGAAGGAGTGGGGAAATGTTAAATTTATGGGGAATTACCTCTCGAAGTTGCTGTTCCATCTGTTTTAACGTTATCGAATATTCGTCCTCTTTGCGAGTGGCCTATGTTAGTTCCAAAAAAACAAAAGAAAATTCAAAGCATTAGATCAAAAAATAAACACCAGACAGGCTGCAAGACATGTCATTCAAGTACATCCTTTTTAACAAGACAGTAAATAGGCAAAAAGCTTTGAGTTGTTTGCTTCACAGTTTTTGAGTATTTTTTTAATATGCCTTGTAGAGGACTGCATGACTGACTGGCCAAATGAAGCCAAAGTGCAACTGACAATATATTTTATGGGCTGAATAGGACCATAAACAAACAGTATACAACGTTGTTTGGTGCTTTTTAGCAATAATCTCTACGTTATAGGAGACAGATGACGTACTATAAGTAGCGTGTCACCTATGGGTTATTTTTTGCTCATCACAATATTGAGTTTACTTTGTTTAGTCAATCTTAAGATTGCACCCCCACTCAAAAGACCCCTCAGTAGTAGTAAAAAAGCAATTTGCATACTTATGTGGTTTCGTTTGGTCAAACAATCATGGAGTCTTAAATTATTCCTCTCAATATTTCTTTGTTAGCTTGGATGACGATTCATATTCAATTTGAAATCACCCATTGCTTGTCATGTTATGTAAGTTATTTCTAGAAAAAAGGATGTACGTTTCGAATGGTTCCAGGAAAATATCAAATAAAAAACGTAGACGTCAACAAAACATGGTTAATCAGAGCAAGTTTAGAATAACACTGCTGCATTTTCTGGCTGTATACCTCCTTCAGACGTGTGGTCAGGTTCTTAATTTGGTTTTTGTACTCCTCCTCACGTTGGTTGGCCTAAACGTAGTTGGAAAAATCGTAATGAACGTTTAAAAAAATCATTAAGCGCAATGTCCTTTCATAAAAAATATTGGTGATGGAAAACTTTTAGCACAAAAACTGTTGCTAAAATAGCAAATCACGACCACACGATCTCTGGTATGTCTCTATACTTTGATTCTGCCACGTATATGACATGGCTTCGAAAACAGTTATTTTATAAAAGGACCTGCCAATACGTATTAACCACAATTCATCAGAAGAGAGACTAGACATTCCATATGCCGACAAAAGATACCACAGATCATCTTTATAAACATCCTGCCGTAGTTGATAAGTCAATATTTACACAATCAAAATATGGCAAGTGTGCATTTATCAGCTAATAAAAGCAAAGAGATAAGGCTGAATCATATACTGGTCAACAGTAGCCAGTTGTACAAGGAGACGTTGCGCCGCAATGCGCATATCATATTGTGTTCGTTCTTTCTGAAGAGGTCGTTATGGCTATGACTCACAGTTTATATTTCACAGTCTCCCTGAACTGAGAATTTAGAAACTATTATTGGAAAGGAAATAACAGAAGGGCTCTAATTCAATTCAGGTTTGTTCAAAAAGTATCGCGAATTTCATGTTTTTTCAAGAATTATTTATTTATTCATGAATATTTATTTTGTCCCCTTCAAAGTAATCCCCATCAGACTATACAACTATGTCAATACTATCGACGACTGCCTTGTCTTGCAGCAAGATATTATCACAGTGTCTTCATGGTGCCATGCCAATCATCTTAACTTAAATGTGGACAAGTGCTTTGTTGTGTCTTTCACAAGGAAATTAAACATCTTAAATTTTAACTACTTTGGACACGTTAGCCTTAAGCTTAAGAGCAAATCGATGACTTAGGAATCATATTTGATCAGAAAATGTCTTTTTCAACTCATATGTGTTTCGTCGGTTAATAGGATGTTGGGATTTATCATGAGGAACGCTAGAGAATTTTCTGTTTCAGTACTAAATATTCTATATACAGGGTGTCCCAGAAGTCGACGTCAAGCCGAAACCGGGTTATAGGCAAAGTCATAGCTATCAGAAAAATATTTAAAAAATTTTATGTATGTGTTTTGCAAATTATAGGTCTTTGAAAAAATATAGAAATTTCACACCCTACGGCAGTCTGTCAACTCCTGTTACTACAAATATTAACTTTTTTTGGATTTTATTTTTACAATGTAATGATGAATAATGCATCTTCAAACTGGTGTCTCAACCTTACTGCCAACTTTTCTCGTTCAGGAAAAATTGCCACTTATTTCCCAACCAAGTATTCCAAAGTAAAACTGCTCAACTTTAACTGGCTGTACTGGAAAAAAATGTACTACGAGAGTTTGGCAAGTAACCTTAAAAGTTGGCGCATTTAATAACGATTCCAAAATCGTATAACACTTAGAAGATTACTCGTTAACTTATGCACAATTTTTATTTGAAAAAAAAACTGATGAAAATTTTTCAAAATTTCCTAATTAAACAGCGATTATGAAAACGCACAAGGACCCTTAAGGATAACTGTTTGCACAACAGTGGGCGTCAAAATGCTGCTGATGATGATTTACCTTTACAGCAAATGCTCAAACTGTTTTCCTTCAGCCGCAATACACGCTCGACATCTTTTTAAAAAAGATCGGGTTATTAAACGAGCGAATCCACGGTTATTAACAAACTCAGCTGCTTCCAATAGTCTTTGCTGTAGCTCAGCTACATTTTGAATCGGCTTGAAATACACTTTTTTTTTACAGTTCCCCAGTAAAAAAATCTAAAGGATTCAAATCAGGTGATCGGGCTGGCCACGGTATTGTACCAGACCGCCTTATCCATCTGCCTGGAAAGTTTTGATCGAGATACTCTCTCACTGAGAGTGCATAGTGCGCTGGGCAGCCATCATGCTGAAACCACATGTCCCTGTAAATACTCAGTGGCACGTCCACCAATAAATTTTGTACATGATTTTTCAAAAAATCCAAATAAACTTCAGCAGTCAGTCTCTGGGAACTCAAACGGACCGATTATTTTACCATTTAAAATTCCTGTCCAATGGTTTATCTTGAAGCGATATTGAGTTTTATCTTTTCTCATCAAATGTGGGTTTGCTACGTGCCACTCGTGTAAGTTATGCAAGTTCATGTACCCATCTTTCTTAAATGTGGTCTCATCCGACCATAAAATTTTTTCAAAGAACTGTGGATCTTTCCTGTGTCTTTCGAACATTGTGCGACAAAAAGCAACTCGGGGCTCATAATCCCGGGGCAGGAGAGGTTGAACACGCTGTATGTGGCATGGACTTCAGTCCTTGTGACTTTTTTCTCTTCCGGAAGTTGAAAAATCACCATTTTGCGCCAGTCGAAAACATTCAAATCACAGCAAAGGCTATTCCAGTATCGGAGTGGAGAGGAAGAACTGTCTCCAGTGCTGTGTGGCTTCAGAAGCAAGTTATTTTGAGGGTGGCAATATAAAAATCTGTTTCAAATTTACAGACCTCGTAGATTTTTAAAAATATTAGCAGAAAGGTATTCCCTATAAGATTTTTGCGAGGTATTTTCATGCTTACAAACCACTAAAAATCCGCGACTCAACGAACGATTGTTTGCATTGTTCAGAAACAAAATTTAGCATCCAATGAAAGCAGCATGATTTATTTTTTAACTAGGCTTTCCTGGAAATAGTCACTAGCGAACATTCATAGTTCGCCTAGACTATATAATTTGATAAATTAATGACTATGAGTTCCGCTACTGTGTACAGATAAAAGAGAAAAGTATGAAACGCGTTTAGATAAGACAGTAGCGAATCGCAAACAGATGGTCGCGGGTAAAACCAAATATGGAGATTTCGAAAGTAGGATACTTTATTTGGAGATGTATACACTTGCGTGAGCGCGTTTGTCTAGAATATGGAATGTCAGTTTCAAAGTCTCTACATAGGAAAAATCTGTTATATGAAATATCAGGAACGGCGATGAACATACAATTTTTTTTGTTGATATGTATGTATTTGTAAGATGCTCAGATGTCTTTAAATAATCGACCGTCATAGTTGAGGTGTCATGTATTTGAACTGACTTGATACTATTGTAAAATATTTTTATTAACTTTTCCCATATCATCCAGTATCTTTAAAAAATTCTATAATTCGTCTCAAGAATTAAACATTCAACAGTATGTCCAACGCCGTTTGTTTACCGCCATATGTAGCTAAAAAATGTTTAAGCTTCTACTCCATTTGAAATATAACTCCGTTATAAATTTCAATGAACTCAACAAAATAAATCGTAAAAGTAACAAGTGATAAACATTAAAAATCTTACCTTTTCTTCCGACACTTCAAGTGATTTCAGGTTATTACCTACGACGCGGAGTTCTTCCTCAAGTTCTACGATTTTGCTGAAAATTCAGATTAATTAGTTCTAGTATAAACATATATTATTATTAATGTTAATATATCGGATATATTGCTCCCAATAATGTCAATTAGTGCATTCAGATGTTCATTTTAAATCAAGCAATGCATTTTAGAATGACGTATTTATGAAAATATATTTACATAAAAGGCAAAAGAATAAATTAGGCGTAGCAAATCCTGGCCCTATATGCAGACGACACTGCTATAGCCGCCAAGCATAGACGACCCGAGATCATCCGTAGGAGACTACAGGATGAACTGGACCACATCCAGGACTGGTGCGTGAAATGGAAAATCCGCATCAACGTCCAGAAGACGCAGGCAATCTTCATTCAACGAAGAAGGATTGCAAGACCTCTCGAAGCATCCATCTTCGACGAAGATATCCAGTGGAGCGACAAAGTCAAATATCTGGGGATCGTATTTGACAAGTCCCTCACCTGGAAAGCCCACATAGAAGCTGTCATCGCAAAGACCAGAGCAGCCATGGCTCAACTCTACCCATTACTGGGTAGACACAGCCGGATGCCGCTAGCGACCAAGCTACGGCTGATCAAGGCCATCGCCAGACCTCAGCTCGCTTACGCCTCCGCGGGTACGCTGCCCCCAGCTACCGCAAGCGACTTGCTGCTCTAGAGATGAAGCTACTCCGGATCGCCACCAGTGCACCATCCTACGTAAGAAACTCAACCTTGCGTAGAGACCTGCATTGGGACACCATCCACGAGTACATGAGGAAAAAAGCGGAGAAGACCTTCGAGAAAGCTCAGGACCACCCGAACGAGCAGCTACGATTCCTCATGGACTACGATCCGGACGAGAGGCCTCGCAACCGCAGAACCAGGTACCCCAGACCAAGGTCCCAGTTGGCACCCGCTAACTGGAACCTTGACTAGGAGACTAGGAGAACTCGCGGTTGCCCCCCCCCCACGGCGTGGATGCAGAGGACCAGGACCAACCAGGACCAGGACCCGCCACGACCAGGACCCACCAGGACCAGGACCAGGAACAACATATTGGTAAGAGGACTTGAAACTCTTGATTTTTCGAAAACAAGTGTTTCAAGAGAACCTAGCAGACCCTCTATCGATGATCGCTTAACGACATCGATAGAATGTGCGAGGTAAAGGGAACCAACCCGGCGTTCCCAGAGACTGAAACACATGAGGAGACTTTGTAGCAGACCGCAGGTCACGCACAACACATGGCCTAACCGAGACGCTGATGAGTCTGGCCACGCGGAGGTTTAGGGTTTAGTGGGTATTAGGTGATCTCCTCAAGACCCTGGAGTCCCACACACGCCGTAGCTCGGGCTATGGTATGGTGCGTAAATGCATTCCTCCCTCACAAAAAAAAGGCGTAGCAATTGAATTGAAAGTTTTCTGTAGGGGGAGGTGGATAATGGGCAAAAGTGTACCAACTTCAAAACTCCTTGAAGAGATGCTAAAATTTTAGAAATTCAGATGAATGTTTCTTGTTTTGCGATGTCTACAATACGTAGATCCAAGGGGGACATCAATTTTGCAAACCGAGTAAATGGCAGCAGTATTGTGTAATAATTACATTAGCTTTCGGATCGTCTCAAAGTTCGTTTTAGAACTTTCAGAACATTTTTAAGGCTAATCAAACATCTCTGTGAAGAGGTTACATTTTTTAAAATTTCGAAAATTTGCTTTCATCATTTCTGATTGCATATACAAAAACATTATGGACCTCAGACATTTTGTTACTTTAGCAAAATACTTGTCATGACCCATGAAAAATTTGAAAATAGACATACGTGAATGCTTTGGAAGTACCTAGTCAATCTACTTGCCCCTATTTTTTCCGATTTCATTTTATCGAGCAATCCATAGTGGAAGAATATTTTGGTGTTTAGAAAAATTCAACCGCTGAAGACAGTACCATGCTTGATAGTTAAAGTTGCCTCATAGAAGTTCTAAAATATTTAATTACTTTCAACTTTGAAAAGCTTCTTTCAGCTGTTGCAGTTGTACTCTAGAGGGTGAAAAATAGGAAGCACTATCTCCTAGCCGTACAATCTACGAGTAAGCTTGTGAATTTTCAATTTCTTGCCTGAGATTGTGAAAAACGCAGGCATACTTTTTTCGTACGGGAGGGGTTCCATTTAATCTGGATGCCCTGTATCATTAATACGGCTGCAGCTACGCCTCTGATATAGTGGGTGCGCCATCTATTACTTTTTTTTTACCTATAAGTTTATGTGTTACCATGTGAGTCAAAAGTCATGTGGTATGCATACATGAACTGTCAAAGGTATGCCATTTATAGTAATGGATTCGTTTACAACACAACGCATTTTGGTTATCCAAACTTATTATGAAAACGGTCGAAATATAAAACATACTTTTCGCAAACTTCGCACTAGTTTTGGCAGAGATGGACGCCATACAGAGACTGGAATTCGTTGGATTGTTAATCGTGTTGAGGGAACTGGTTCAGCTGAAGGTCGTAGACCATATCAACATGCTCGTCCAGCTCGTACTCGTGAAATTATAGTCGCAGTGAGTGAAAGTGTGCAAGAAGATCCAACCACCTCGACTAGGCACCGTTCGCAACAATCGGGAATTAGTGAGACCACTTTACGCCGGATTTTACACATTGATTTACACCTCCATCCATACAAAATCCAACTAACACAAGAATTGAAGCCGGAAGACCATCAACAGCGGCGTGTTTTTGTTGATTGGATGCTGGAAAGAGAAGACGGATTTTCGGCCAAATTGCTCTTTTCTGATGAGGCACATTTTCACCTCAATGGGTACGTAAATAAGCCAAATTGCAGATTCTGTGGGGGCTGAAAATCCACACCAATATCATGAACAACCTCTCCATCCTGAAAAAGTGACTGTGTGGTGCGGATTATGGGCTGGTGGCATCGTTGGACTACAATTGGATCGTATTGGTGCCGACGATCTTTGATTTCATCAAGACGGAGCAACGGTTCACACATCTCGCCAAACAATCGCCTTATTGCACACGAAATTTCAAGACCCCTTAATTTAACGAAATTCAGATGTCAGTTGGCCCCGAGATCGTGCGATTTAACACCTCTTGACTATTTTCTTTGGGGATTTTTTAAAGGAAAAGTGTATGCGAATGGTCCCCCGGACAATTCAAGACCTAAAGCGCAATATTCAGACTGAAATTGCGGCCATAGACCCGATTATTCTGGGAAAAGTCATTGAAAATTTTAATGTTCGGATGTTGTCCTGTAAACGAAGCCGCGGTGGTCACATGACTGATGTTATTTTCCATACATAAATGGTATAAACCAACCTTCATTTATAAATAAAAAAATTCGATTTCACCTCATAAAAAGCGTGTTGATTTTTCAAATAGAAAAAGTAATAGATGACGCACCCTGTATAACCAGCACATATGTTTGTTACTACTATCAATATAGCTGAATATCTTGATATATGCACTATGTAATCTCAATTTTAAACAAAAAATAGAAAAACATTTTTTGGATAAAGAATGCTGGTCTCAAGTATTTCCTAGTGACGATAAAATTGTATAACAGGTATTTAGTTCTAAACCGATAAAATATTACCGCTTCGACTTGATTTCGGTCAGAATTTCACCTTATAAAATGAGAAAAATATTTGTGATCATTGTCCCAGAAATATATACACACTTCGAATGATATTTAAATCAATACTACACTTTGTGTTTTTCGAGATGAAATTAGAAACAATGGAACTAAATATCGACAGATATTATACGAGAGCAATTTTTAAAAACAGTTTGGTAATGGAGTGAGAGAAACTTTATTTATGAATGTAAATTGTATCACAACCTAACATGTGAACAGAATCACTAAACAGTTAGTAATTCTTTATTTCAACAGTCCAAGCACTTTTACCAAGAAATTCACCAAGTTTTGGAAAAATATGAAAATCTGATGGTGATAGGTCATGTATAGTGGATGATGCAGTGATTTTCCAACGAAACTGCGCCTTTGTTCTTGCCGCAACGTAAGGCCGAGCGTTGCCGTGAAGCGGAATAACGACGGCCGCCAATTTTGAATAGCTCCAGTTATCTTTCTCAGTTTCTCTCTGCATTTATAGTAGGCTGAACTTTTTTGCGTTAAAAAAAACGAACTACTGAGCGCACAATGATGATTTAATGAGTGACATGGCCACAAACAAAGCAGTATAACCAACACCGACAGAGACGTGAAACGTAATGACGGCGTCGTTAACCGACTGCCAAGAGTGTCTGGGGTTGAACGGAAGTCACGTGATTACTGTGCGCAATCTGTTACTTTAAAAATTGCTCTCGTAACATCCTGACAATCAATTCCATCGAATTTTTGCTATAAGGAACATCAGGGCCATGATGGCCAACAATTTGAAAGTGACGTCAAATGTAAGAAGACTTGGTTCCACTTTCTCAGGTCATCCTAAGTTAAGCTGTGCATAATTAAATAGGTTTTCAATAAACGTGTATATTTTTTGTGATACCCTTTAGTTTAAAGCTACCAAAACATGCATCAGCGGTGCGCGGTGGCCCTTTCAACCTACCTGTCGCTCTGTTCGGCTCTTTCTTCTGCCCGCTCCAAGTCTTGCTCCATCAACACCAGTTTTCGGGCCACCTTGAAAACAGCAAATCATGCAGCAGGCACATTTTCACAAAAAGACAATCACATGATGTTAAATAAAAGTATATCGTCGGCAATAATGGTAACAATACAGTCGCATTTGTTTGTAGCATTAAATAACTCCGAGAGAGGGCTTATGGGCACAAATTGGAAACTTTTTTACCACCAACAAACAGTTGTAGCTGTTACAAGCCATCAAGGTTGACCGTACTAGCGCTACTATACACATGATCGGCAGATTTTTGACAAGCTGTATTTTGGTGAAACATGATATTTAAAAATAAAAACAAACAATCAGAAGCTTTAAGATTCTGGTTTTCAGGTTCTGAGCCCAAACATTTTAAAAGCAACGGTTCACATGCCACCCTAAAAATCCTCAAAACTGTAAACAAAATCATTTTCCCAGCGACGGGGGTTGTACACGCCGCTCCTGGCCTCCCCTGCGGGCGCACATGCTCCCTGATCTTGGCGGCGACGCCTATCTGAAAGCATAGCTATACCAATGCTGTTTTTTTTTTAAAGTTTTTGCTCACAAATACGGATTTGAATCAATAGAGATTTTTTTCGCGAGATCCCGTAGTGAACAGATGGCATTTCCCCTTCTTCTTGAAGTTTTGACAGTTTCAAGTTACACCGGGAGTGGTTAGACGGCGCATGTTGCGCAAAATGTTTGCTTTAAGCTCCTTGATAAAAAAGAAGACATACAGTTGGATATATTTAAAACTAGCTTTACAATAAGTGTTCAAATAAATTCCCATTTTGTTGGAAACAGAATCTCGCTCGACGATGCTTATTTGCGGATTATTTTCAAACATATTTAAAGCAATATCCATACGATGATTTCTCAGTGGCCTTCCTGAGCCCTGCACGCGCTGAAAACTTCCATGGTTTGACAAATTCCGGTGAATATCAGTAAACATTCGACGTTCAGGTACTATGCGATTGGGAAATCTTCTTTTGATATTCTCTTACGGCTGCCAATGAACTGCAAATGCAAAACCCGTACACCAAATGCATGTCAGTCAGTTCTCTGTCTGTAAATCTTGGCATTTTAAATCGATTTAATAAAAATTTCATTTCAATCTAGTAATTTTACACTGCTAACAATGTCAGCTTAACGTCAAAATAAGTCATAACAAATCAAAACAACTTTTGTTTGCAGTCATGGCTAACTATGTATAATCAACAATTCATTTAAATTCGCAGTACATTTCCTACCATGTGACAAATGTTTTAGTTTGATTTTATTCAAAAATGGCACAATTTATCGATATTCAATAAGAGTACGTTTTTTATGTAGAAAACCCTAAATTTTCAAATTCTAAAATTGAATTTCAAAAATAGAATCACACAAAAATTTTGGGGCTAAGATAAGCTGAGTCCTTCCCTGTTACATACGCTTCCAAACAAAACTGCCTAAAATTGTTAACATTTTTAAATCCAGCATAAAAAACTAGGCTAGAATACCAAATTTTATGTCTTTATCTCAACACGTTTCAGAAAAAACATCTTCAGGGGACCCCCTTTAAAAGACCGTAGCGCCCTTAGGGGACGTTTGTCGACCTATGTTTTCTTCCTATTTTAAGCTCTACAAACCGCTGGTAGAATATTGCACACTTTTTCGGGACACCCCGTATATCAATAAAATCAATCATTTGATATGACAAGTGCGGTTCATATATCTTCGATGACCTTCTCCCTCGTCATTTAAAACCAGGTGGACGTGTTCCTCCATTTATGATTTAATAGTTTAACTCAATTTTCAGCACTGCGAAGATAAATTTCAATTGAGATGCCTGTTTTTTAAATGACATTGATATAAGACCTGTCACCCGCTAGTACCTCAAACACGTTAGGCGGGTACCCGTACCACGTGATTTCCCCTATTCCCGTTCTTCGCGAAAATTTGAGCATCGGTTCCCGGTAGTGCACTGTGCTACACCGGGGACCCGCGAAAAAATCCTTAATGTATTATGAGAACAGAATATAGCTAACTTCTTGAAAATGAACGCCCTGTATAACTTCCGCTCGTAAATACCACCATCTTCATTTGATACACATGCTAACGGGTGCAGTTTGAGTGACAGAAGGTTGAGAGATTTATGGTCAGATATCGCCTTTCTCGTATCTCGTTTTCTTATTTAGAACACAAGCCATATATGTACTCAATAGACGATTGAGAAATTTTTCAACTCGGTAACATTGTAGGTACTGCTGGTATTCTGTTGCAGACATATACAAGTGATATTAAAGGAGAATTACGATGTTTCATTTTTGGGGAATTTAACTCGGGACAACCCTCAGAAATCAATTTCTTAGTTTCTGTTGAAACTAAGCGCATTTGTTGATTTAAATCACACAACCATAAAATTTGTTGCGATATTTTTGTGATACCGGGTGATGGTATGCAAAAAATTAAGTGGTTTGGTGCCTCATACCAAAAATAATGGATGTACTGTTACCAAGTTACCATTCTCAAAAAACGTTAGTAAACAAAAAACATATAGCACATAATCCTTCCGTGGTGTGGTGTAGCCTGCTCCAAAAACAAAAAAGTAAAACAAAAATCGTATAAAGCCATCCATAAGTGACCGATGGAAAACGAAAAACATGCCGTGAAAGAAAAACAAATCCAGCACACATCTTAAAAATTTGACACCTACGATTCACCAGCTTCGGCTCTTTCTTCAGCACGTTCCAAATCAGCTTCAACCATGGCCAATTTACGGGCTACCTGTGTACGAGGAAAAGAACATTCAGTACCTACAGTATACATTTTGATTTCCAGATGTCAATGTTAGTGGAATTGGTAAAATATTCGGAAGTAAACAGGCGACAGCAAAAGTCTGCGAATCCTTTGGCTGCTAGAGTAACATCTGTTTCAAGTATTTTTCCAACAGATACTTTTGAATAGACATTTTAATTTATTAAAAAAACTGCGAATGAAAATATTCAACTATTCGTTGATTATTTGCGAGGTCTCCTAATCACTATTTGTTTTCGTTTATCTAATTCTAGTATATATGCAATTTCAATTACGATTTTTTAAGAATAGAACTTCTTAATGCAGTTTTACGAGGGGGCTCCAATAAGTACTTAGCCTACAAAGGAAAACGACACTTGACCTAGCGAGTGACTTTTTCAGTTTGGAAACAAAAAGAACTCGCACGGTGCCAAATCTGGAGAATATGGTGGATGGATCAGCAGTTCGTAGCCTAATTCGACCAATTCGACCAATTTTGAGGTGTGTGCCAGTACGTTGTCATGATAGAAGAGCACTTTTTTATTTATTTGCAATTCGGCGTCGAATTAATTCGGCATAGTAGCGACCTGTGACCGTTTCGCCCTTCTCCAGGTAGTCGATGTCCGGTCGATGGGTCAGTCTTCGGCTTCTTCGGAGCACGTGCGCCGGGTGAGGTCCACTATTTCGTCTGATCCTTGTTTTCTGGTGTGAACCATGTTTCGTCTTGTCGTCGGAGTGAGCAAACGCGGCACCCATCGTACAGACAACTTTCTCATGCTCAATACTTCATGCTGGTTATGACCGATGTATTTTGAGATGCCTACTGTCTCAGCTAACACGCGCAACCTGGATTTTTGTCACGTTATCCGCCGTTTTCGGGGCATGACTCATCAAAAGCCGACTGCGACCACGTTGGGACTCGTTAAATCAATTTTGATGATCGCCATCGAAGGAGAAGAGTCACCGTACACAGCATCCAAGTGCACTTCAAAGACAAACAAGAAACCCCTATTCAGCTGAAATTTTAACAGTAGCCGCCTACAAGAATGTACTACACGATGGTAAATTTGTCTTGCGATAGTGGCGCCATCGGACAGTGAGGTTAAGTACTTATCTGATCGCCCTCGTATAAAGATATGAAATTAACATTTGACGCGACATACTTGTCAAATCTATCACAAAGTTTTTAAAACGATAGATTGAAAAATTAATGTTCGATCTGTTGAGTATTCTAAACAGAAATCGGAATGTGGATTTGTGACCAAAAGCATTACTGGATAGAACACGGTGATTAAACCACGAATTCGCACACAATAAAAAAACAATTTTTCGCGAAAAAATATGATAACGTAGATGACGTGAATTGCACACTCAATGACTTTAGTTATTTTTCATGCATATTTAAAGTTAATTTATCAGAAGCCTAGGGACATCTTCAGAACTATTATGGCAACTTCGATTTTTTCTATTAAGCTGTGAAAGCCTAAAATATTAAAGTATTTCGATCCTATAAAAAAGTCAAGATATTATTAGTACGATGTTTGAAGAGGTAAAGGGTCCGTCAGAAAGAACGCAAGTTTTTTAAATGAGTAGTACAGTCAAAATAAGTATGGGAAAATATTAACATGCACACATGCCGTTTTTTTGAGTAAAACAGAATTTACGTTCTAAAAACTATGTCACCCATATGGCGTCATAAGTAACCCAAATTCCTGCACGGATGCTGGCCGACGTAATGGGCTCATTTCGGGAGAGGCTTGATTCTTGCATTTCGTCTCAAGGGCGCCATATAGCCAACAGTTTTTATAACGTAAATTTTGTTTTTACTCAAAAAATGGCATGTATTTCTGAATATTTTGATATAATATTTTTCCCCATACTTATTTTGACTGTACTACTAATTTAAAAACATGCGTTCTTTCTGACGGACCCTGTATATTGGAAGCTCTTCTGGTAGAATGGTTGAACATGGCAATTCATGAAGAATTTAGCAAGAATGAGGTGGGAATTAGAAAAACTAGAGGAGCAAGGTCGTTTGGCATACGAGGGATGTCTTTTAAGTTTTGCATATACGTAGATACATAGTAGGTCGCGCGGATCGAACGTCAGTACTGAATCTTAACCTCACTCTTTAGTAAACTTAAATTCAACGTTTCACAACAATACGTGCAGTGTTCTCACTACAGTGGATTTTTAAGTGTCACCAAGTCATTAGGAAAATGAAAACTAAACCGAGAACATTTTCGCGCCATAATTTATTACAACTTTCAGAGACAATTATCGCAACAAGAATGCATTGCCGAGTTACTGTCTGTTTTCGGCAACGAAGCGCCACATCAGTCGACAATTTCCGTAGGTATGGAGAATTCAAACGTGGAAGAGTGAGTCTTAGCGACGATTCCAGGGTGGGTGCACCAAAAACGGCAGTCACCCAGGAAAACGTCGATGCTGAGCGCAAAATCATCATTGAAGATAGACGTGTGACATATCGCGAGATTGAGCCGTCCTTGAAGATCTCAAAGACCTCAATTTAAAAAAATATACATGAAGAATTAGGAGTAAGAAAATTAGTTTCTCGTTGGATACCCCACCTGTTGACTGAAGAGCAGAAAAGCAGCCAGGGTTAATTGGTGTCCAAAAACGCTTGACCATTTTCAATTTCGGAAACTCAAAAAATGTGTACAGCATTATTAGTGGTGATGAATCGTGGATTTACTGTTATGAACCAGAAAATAAACGACAGTCGGCTGTTTGGGTGTTCCAAGGTAAAGAAAAGACAACAAATGTCATCCGTTCTCAAAGTGTTTCGAAAAAGATGGTCGCGACACTTGTGTCAAAAGCGGGTCATATTGCAACAATTTCTCTTAATGAGCAAAGAACCGTTACTGCGGATTGGTATACCACCATTTGTTTGCCAAAAGTCATCACGGAGCTTCGAAAAATCAACCCCGAAAGAATCATCCTCCACCAAGACAATGCAGCTCGTACACAGCCCAAAAAACAAGGCAGTATTTAAAGGAAGAAAACGTGGAATTATTGGACCATCCTCCATATAGTCCCGATCTAAGTTCTAACGATTTCTTTACTTTCCCGAAAATTAAAAACAGACTGTGTGGTCAAAGGTTCCAGTCACCAGTTGACGCATTCAAAAATGCCGTTTTGGATCTGTCAGCAAACGAGTGGAATAAGTGCTTCGAAAATTGGTTCGAGCGCATGCAGATGTGTATTAATCTTCGTGGAGAATACTTCGAAAAACAATAAAGTCATTTAAAACTACCTACCGTATTGTTTTATTTCCATATGCAAAACTTGAAAGATATCCCTCGTATCAGTAGAAAAGAGCCAGATCACCGACCGCTCGCCAATGTGAAAGAGACCTGGGGCCGTATGTTAAGGAAATATCATCGATCAATCGGATCGCAAGGACGAGAGCTCAAAAGGTCAAAGTCTCAATTGATTTGCTAGTTGATTAGAAGGCTGATTCCAGATATTAAAACATGTATTTTCAAGGGCGCGATGCTGGTAAATTACTAAAATGCACAATTTCTTACAGGACATGGTTATTGGGACAGCTACATGTAGAGGGTAGGACAGAGAGATTA